CCACAGTGGCGGGGCATTTTTCTGGTGTTGCGGCGTGGATCAGGCACAAAAGGGCACACTAATTTGATGCATCATGCATAAGGCTAAACGCTACCGAAAGAAAAAAAACATAACTTGACGCTACAACGTCTACCGCAATGAAACGGGGCTTGACAACTGCTGTTTTGAAAGAGCTGGCCAGCTTTTTTAGCCGCAACCCTACTTCCAAATCCTACTCATGGCGATATTAGCGCCGCCTCCCGGGCGACCCCACCACCACCCCACCGCATAGCCTGCGCTGGAGAGTGACCCCACTGCCCTCTTCTAGTACAATGTACCATCACTCCCATGCAGGTTAAAGCACCATGCGTTGCAGCTCCCATAGACACTAGCGCTAGAGTTATCTCTAGTGTATATGTAGGAAACTTTGTGCTCCTGGGTACCCGCCGACACTAACTTGCGAGGGCCACTACCATATACTCAAATCAGTGATTATGGTCACCTCCTGTTTTACAGCAAAAGCGGTTATCACATCACAACTCGGGTCTCGCGCAGCGCCGTAGTTTTCCGCCTACGCCGCCGCCGGTGTCCGTAACCACATTGCCCGAAATAAAAAAGCTTCGTACCAATGGCACAAGGGGGTTCGAGCCCGAGACCGCTGGGTGCCAGCCCAGTATTCTACCACTGAGTCACGCCGGCGCTTGGGACTTGTTGGCAAACTTGCCTTAGGTAGGCTTGATGTAGGGAAAGCACCCGCGTTAATACAACTTATAAAGCCTTTTAAAACAACAAAAGAACAAGAAGTCGTCGCACAATTTGAATAGCGCAACGAGTGGGTCGTCCACTGTTCTAACGCATTACAAAAGCTTGTTTTTGTTAAGCTATTACCTGTAGCACATACCCACTTCAGGCATAATTCCTGATCGTCGTCAGCCACTGCGTGAACAACTGACACAAAATTCCTCGCAACAGTTTAGCGATCACCACGCTTTTCCGAAGAACGAAAAAAATAGCATGGCGAAAACCGGCCTACTGCCCTGAAATTTTTATTATTAATGCCGTGATGGGCATTAAGCAAGTGTGCTTGCAGCAGCCTTCTATTCAGGCCTGGCATTTTATTGTACTAGTAAATATATTGACACTCTCGGCTGTAATTCGCCGCTGGCGTCAATGTCGACGCCGATGTCGTGCACCGTATATGTATGCTTATCTATATATATGAAAACGCAGGAAAGAAAAAAATGCTGAAAACGTATGGGTACGGAATTGAACGTGGGACCACCACGTAGTGAATGCGAGGCCTTAAACACTGAGCCCCCGAGGGGTACCTCCTTCAACGTTAAAGCGGCAAGATATTTATATCTACCACTTACAGCTGTTGACGGGCATGTCGGGGTGGGAGTACTATCGTGTTTTTATCAATATCTGCACGATGACGCGATGAGCGTGTGGCGGCTCTAATATTTCACGTGCACTTTGGCCTGCGGAGATGGGAGTGGACGATTTCTGGCACGCCCGTATCTCCCGGTGGGTAAGATCATACGTCTTGGCTGGCGTTCGGCTTGCACTGGAACAATTCTGTTGTAGTTACGGGGCGCACAAAGGTCACTGCAATCGTTGTACAGCCTCAGTTCAACAAAGGGCGCGCTCTTCAGACACAGCGAAGTAACAACTGCAGCGGACCGCAAATTAGCGTTCATCTGTTCCTGTGAGTACGTTTAGTGCGTCATTTGTGCGTGAGAAACGCGGGGCACATTTCGATCTGCTTGCCATTCTGCGCGTGACCTTCCAATTCGTTTCTATCGCGTTTATTGCTTCGCCTTTGTGACAAATCTGTGACTTTGTTTTAGTTATCTTGTTGAAGGGGCGTAATTGTATAGGTTGCATTGGCTTCACACCGTCGTTAACAGCCCTTCTTATATATGACGTCAAATTTTTAGACAAGACAAAAACTGTTATCAAATATGACAGACGCCATTAGAGACATTATAGCCAGTGCTTCGTGAATGTACAGACCTCGCACAAAAATTTTACGTTTGAAACTGCGGCCATGAATCGATGACATAACATGATAGAGATAGTGAACTAAAACTTGCATCGGTTACGCTTAGCATGGCTCGGTGACATTTTACACAATGTCACCAACTTTCACCAAAACAAGAGCATGTCTGGATGTTCACTGCGTTTGATATTCAAGGTGAACCCAGAAAAACAAAGCGCGCACGCTGCAACCAATTCGAGTTTAGCAGGTGAGGATAAAGAGAGGGTAAAATTGAACATTTCGCTTAACAATATACCACGCCCTGCAATAGCCACTGCGTGTGTAGGAAATGGAAAACAGTTGGCTCTATATGCGACCTCCGAAATCGATGATGTAGATATGCGAACTTGCCCATTCTCCTTACCCCTTCCTCATCTAACTACGTCATATACATGATCCACGTATTGCATATAGACGCTAAAATTAGGGTACTAAAACTTCCCGTTTATAATTGTACTATAATGAACCTCTTATGCAATCAACATAGAACTGCAACGTGAGAGCTTTTTTTTTCATGGCTAAGTTTACCACACTATGTTGGATTGTACAATTCTTTCTTTTGCTTCCATGTGGCTCTCACTTACACTTTATTTCTTTAATCAATTCCGTTGTGTGGCAACCGGTCGTTGAAAGCAAATACGCAATGAATGCTCATTAAAAATGCGCTCGCATATGCACTTGTTTTTTTTTTTAGCAGGACGGCCCCCGTTCTTCCGCAAAGCTCTTTAAGACGTACAGTGGGGGTGGGTCTAACGCTGAAAAAAATCATAAGAACAACTTCGACGAGACGTGGCTAAAGGTATAGACTTGTTATATTTCAAGAACTGGGCGGGGACAATCGGCGAAATTAGTGCTATACGAAGAGCGCATTTCTCGCTAGAAAATTACTTCTACGTTGCTGACACGTTATCTTGCTGTTAAGTCGGAGGCACACTTGTGAAGAGCAGTCGAGCGTGTGGACGCTGGCGCCATCCGCAGCTGCTGCCGCGCGTTAGCTGCAAGCTTGCTTTTATGCTTGAGTTATGCACAAGGCCATAGCATGCCGCATGACTATGCTAGGTATGAATACAGCGTTGCTCTTTGCTCGTTTCTCAAAAAAGTATATATACAACAGTGGCTAAAGCGGCCCACTAGCCGATCTAGAGAAGTGTGATTCCGACTGTAGGTGCACCATCTTAGGTGAGGTGCTTCAAGTAGAGAAAAAAAAAGAAGAAAGAAAGCTTGAACTTGGTTTATGCCTACAGAGTGTGTACAAAGCTCCGCACGGCTAAGGCCGCCGCGTTCGCTTTGTCTGTGGCGGAGTAGAAATGGAAAACCATAGAAATATTTATACCATAATAAAACCTTTTCGCACCGCATTCGCAGATACTTCACAAAGCGCTTTTTTGAAAGAAAGAGGGCTTTTTTGAAGAAATAGAAAATTATATTGGAAAAACAGATTTCATCACACCCATGACGCAATTACACGTGCCAGCATGAGATTGGGTTGTATATAGGCATCGTTAGTCGCTTAAAAGACTGCACTAGCTGCCGTATACAATTTTCTGTTGCTTGCCCACGTCAAATAAACTGGGATCAATATAAAATAGCATAGGAACCGAAAATTGAGGTCCTGTACACCACATTGCAGCCTTTGTTTTTGTATTTTTTACTAACGGATTTATTTGCTCTATGGCAGTTTAAACAGATGGACATTCGTTGGCAGACCACGTTCTCTGCGTTGAAGCATTAACTAGGCTTTTGTGGTGTATGCGAGCTTACCATTAAATTATGCGTCATGACACCTCCTTACAGATGAACCCGGAAAGTGTTACATTGATTTCATCAGTGTCACGAAGCGGGCTACAGATGCACGCGTAAAGATTCAGTTTTTAGAGCTTAAGGCGACGTACTAAGTAGAAACCTATACCATTAGTGAGTCAAGGTCGTATACGTGTCATTCCACGCCAACTGTCCCAGCCTTGGCGCTCGATCATCTGCAATTTGCTTGAAAAAAATTTGTTGCTACTCACCTAAAGTGAAAAGTCCGCCCCAGAAATATTTTTTTTGCAAAAAAAAAAACATTTTCCAGCACCGTGAGCCTGATGTAGTTTTTTTTTTCAGAAAGCTCAAAACCATGGTTCGTAAAACATGCTGTCGAAAAATCTGTGTAACTTAATTTGGGTCAAGACAAATTTTTACTTTTAGAAAAATTGTAGGCTGTTTACTTGAAACACGTTTCCTGAGCTTTTACATTTTGTTTGTTTTAATGCGGCCTCGAATAAAGAGATTATGTTTCATAATGAGGATTTTTAACAGAAATACAACATTCAGTGAAAAGTGATGACATTAGCATATTGTTCTACTGCAGACTGAAAATTATTTCACGTATGTATAGTGCGAAATAAGGTGTACAGGTGGCGAGGAAGTTGCAAAAATGTTCAATTTCGCACATGTTCGGTCGTAAGTTTAACACTGAGGCGGTCCTAGTAAACGTACCCTCAAGAGCAAATTTACTAGCTACCTTCATTGCCTACTCAGGGAGAAAGTTATGTCGAAATAATTGTTTTTTTAAGCGAGAAAAATACTTTTGAATTTATGTGTTATCCCTCTTTGCGAAGCACTGTTTATACGTCGTAGCAATGCGTCCTAGCGGTGAGTACAAGCTACATGGTCGTGGGGATCATCTAGATGACGTAATCAACTTTGTACATGGTTACTACTACATAACCACGTAACCTACTAGACTATAAATGTAGCTTTCCGCTGGCGGCCTGCATAGTATGCTCACGCAGCACGAGGAAGTGGTGCCGACGGGGGCAACCTCATTTCGCACTATACATAAGTGAAATAATTTTCAGCATGCAGTAATACATATTGGCAATATGTTAATGTCATTTATCATATTTCTATGAATGTGGTGTTTCTATTAACAAATCCCTAATACGTATGCTGCCTGCGTATTCCTAATGGAATGTCCTGTACCTGGACTGGTCTGCAGGGAAGGCCAGACATCGGCCGAAGAGTGGCACCGGCTGTACGGCAAGTGCTCCGGCAACGAGATCTACCACATCCGGCTGGCCGACAGCCGCTTCTTCGGCGAGTACGAGGGAAAGAGCTTCACATTCGCATCCTTCCACTCGCACAGAAAGTGAGCTCCACTCTTATATACTTCGCCTTCGACTTTATGCACGCGAGGAACAGTTACATTTACCTTGCCGTCTAGCGTGTTTGGGCTCCAAAGTGGCTGCCCAATTGTGCGACAGCGAGAGAGATATGCGCAAATGTGGCTGCATTGCGTTGATATGTCCACCGTTAGATGATATATATATATATATATATATATATATATATATATATATATATATATATATATATATATATATATATATATATATATATATATATACATACATATATTGAAATAAATGCGCTTCATAACATCCCTTTATACCGCTCTGTATAAAGGGATGTGCGAACTCTCTCAGACAGGCTGAAGTTTTGTGCCATAAGAACTATATTCATACCACAGTTGTCGTCAAGGTCTACCAGAAAACAAGTTTATTTCAATTTCTCTATCGTTAGTGACATGTTTACACATAATATACGCACGGTCTGTTCAAAACATACAAATATTAAGACGCGAGCAAACTGAAAGGTGTGTAGCCCGTTTTCATTCACTGGGCATGAGCCAACAGATATGGCCAAATATCCTGTTTCATGACAGTTTTTCTAGCAAATTTCGCGCAGGTTACGACGAAAACGAGTGTTCTTCAAGGGCGTAAACTCTTTGCAGCCAACTTTATGCAGCCACGCAGAACGTCGTCCTTCGACGTTTGTGTTGCACGGAATGCAAAAATAAACGAGCTTCCCAAATCACGTTCGGTTCCTGCTCAGGTACACTTGTCATCTGCATAACGTTTTCGGAAAGTGACGTTTTCGGAAAGTTTTCGAAATACTACTGCGGACTGCGCTGTCTGACAACGTGGTTCGTTCAACGCGCGCTCTCAAACCGCTTGGATGGACTATTGTAGTGGGAGCTCACGTGGTGCGAGTGAGTCGATCGCATCGGCGGCGGCGCGTGAAAAACTGATGCGATACTCTGAAATTTTTCAGTGACTCTACCTGTAAACTTGCTTGCTTTGCCTGTCCATACATTCACTGTAATCGTTCTTTTCCATTGAACGTCGGCAACTTGTCGTCGTCTGTCGCCTAGACGTTGCTGGCCCAGACATTCAAAAAATTTGTTTTCAGGCGCTGCCCTCGCCGGCTTTTCACGCTTGCTGGCGTGGCAAATCGAATGCCGTAATTGCCTTCGGACGATATTATACGTTAAATTTTTAGATTTTCCTGTACCGAAAAAATGTTTCAATTAATTTTAATAACTTCCTGATTTAACAAAATCACTCGAGCGCCCCAATTACTTTGTTACATCGAGTTTCAACTGTAGTATTTTCTTCAGCTACCGTCAGCTGCGTAGATTCGACCGATCCGTTTACTAACCTGGAGTGATGTCAACGCAACGCAGCGCACCCAGCCGACAAAAACAAAAATAAAACATGTTCCCGCGGCTAGACCCGAACTTTGGCCTTCTCGTAACAAAGTCCGGTGCTGCAACTAGTACGCCACATGTAATGCCTCATGAGGTAGAAATAACCCCCTTTGTCACGTGCACTTCATTGTTATTGCTTTCACGGTACGTGCAAGCAAGTATACACTGTCGTTATTTATGGAAGGGAACACGCGAACGCGTGGCCTGCGCTTTGTGACAGCTGCCTACAGCACCATCAACCGGCAGCAAAAGAAAACAGGCCCGCTCTCAGAGTCACCTGTTGCCAAAAACAATGATAACCAGTTATGCCCGGTAGAGGAGCGCTGTTAGATTGCACTCTATCTCTGCTCACGCCTGTAGTGCATAGTAAGTACCCTGCCAACATATCAAGCATTGTGCGCGACCAAGACGCAAGCTGCAGTAATCGCCCGATATCGCTCACTGCGCGAACGGTGAGGGAACGTAATTTAGCAGCGCTTGTCTACCGCCCATGACTCGTTATCTTGCTCGGCCATAGATGCCGCCAAAAACGAACGTGCTTTCTTTCCTTGTCGGCTGATGGTGCTGTAGGCAGCCGCCGCAGTATGCAGGCCACGCGTTAGCGTGTTCCCTTTCATAAAGAACGACAGTGTACATTTTACGCGTCACATATGCTTTCTTCATAAACTTTATTCGCACTATCCGGTGAGTTGAGATGCTTGGAGCGTTTATTGCCGTACGCACTGATTGTAACTAGCATGCTGACATTGATATAGTCTTTCTCTCTTTATTTATTTATTTATTTGGTCACTTTTGCGAGTTGCAAATGCTTGTTGCTCACAATGCTGTGTCATGCCAGAACTAACTGTCTAGCAGCACGACAGTCCGCTCGTACTGCCGGGCTCTCCGTTATTTGAACTTTCAAAGCCACGTATTTAAGTGAAGGGCCCAGAAGGCGTGATGGTTATTTTCTTTTATCCGCAGATTTCGCGTCTGTGAGTATCTGTTTTGCTAGGGCGAGTCCGCTGTTGCTACGTCATTTAACATGCGAGTCCAAGGACACACATATTTACGCACGATAACTTATTCCGCCCTACAAACCTCTTTCCTTCGAAGGCATATATCTGTATGAGCGCCACAAAACAATGTAGCTGGCAGTTAGCGCTTGTTTCTTTCCTCTTCGGGCTTAACACTTGGGGCAATGTATCCGCCAATATATTCTTACCTACTAGCGGGTATTCATACCACATTAGCCAAGCATCTACTCGCTTCGAGGCCTACATTTTTTGAGTGAGATCACATCATTTTTTGTTATTGAAAACGAAACATTTGGTTTCAAACCGCGATGCAAGAAATGAATCGCACAATGGGTTTAGACATATGTTTCAGCATAAATAGTGCTATACGTTTTCTAGCTCGTCCTGAGCCTTGGTAGAACAGCTTTTCGACAAGACCCTTAAGTTTAGATTTCACCGAAACCCTTCGATTGTGTCAACGCGTAGATGTCATCTCTGAGTCAAGAACGTGTCCTCGGTGGGCCAGAAGAACAAGATTGGAATCTATACTTTCGCTCACGTGACCACGTTTCCTTTCCAGGTACGGCGTGGCGCTGGTGGGCGTGCAGACTGATGTGCACGGCCAGTGGCCTGTACTGCTTAATCCCGGACCAGCCTACATCATGAAAGGATCGGACATTTGCTTCTACATGAACATCACCAAGGAGGAGAACAGCGCCTTCCTTCCCGCCGCCGGTGACGACGCCAAGCCTCAGGATGCCGTTGACAAGGCCGCCGCCGACGCCAAGGCCAGAACAGGTCTGCATGCTACACATTTCGTAAATATTACTAGCGTAACGAATCGACCGTCCTTCGAGTGCATGTAAACGTGATTCGACGTGGTCAACAGGGAGGGAGGTGGGATGGCGAACATATCGCACATTGTATCGGTTGCGTTTACGGCACAATGTTACCAAGACTATACAGAGATCTGACTTTATTAATGACTCGTATTTGGCGTGCGCATAATCAGGCTTACAAAAATAAGCTTGATTTTTACGCACACATAGAAATTACCTTCCTTATCACCTATGCCCTAATACCCTACCGGCATTAGGTGCAGTTTCGGCAACATTGCATGATCAGTTAGGTTTTACTCTAGCATGTCCCACGGCTAGTATACCCGGTGGTTGCTGACGAATCTCACTAGTCACCTCACCCCCAATGCAAACCGTCAGACATCAGCCAACTTTCTCGCTCTACCAAGTAAGCATTATTACCTTTACGGTCACCATTGTAACTCGAATTTATGTGCATGTGGTAATGTCCGCATTTTACCCAGACGTTCTGCCTACTACGCTATCACGCAATCCTAGCACTATGCAATTTTTTCACTGTGAGGGAACAGTAAAAATGAATCGTCTGTTGTGCATGCCTTTAGTATGAAAAAGACGTTTTGAGAATCGCGAAGAAGTTGTTTTGAAAAAGATGATTGTCTGCAGTGTGATAACCCGCTGCTGCAGCAGTAAAAGGAGTTCTAAATATTATGGCTGTTTATACCTGATCAGTGTCTTTTTTTTAATCACAATAAACGTATCCAGAAGCTCGTATTATTATACAGCATTCGCGAACGCGGCCACAGGCACCCTCGCACCACCACAGCTCTCCTGTCATTCAAGAGCAAGGCACCAAAAAGTATAGTAGTCGCATTTTCGATTAGTCGAATGACAGCAAATTCTTATAGTCAAGAACATCCTGTAGCTAAATATCCGCAGTTATGTTGTGTTCCATCGCTTTTCTCACTGCACGTTCCGCGGCAGAAAGCGGCAAATCGTGGTTCGACTTCCGGAGCCACAAGCAGCACCTGGAGGTTCCGAAGCCCGAAGAAGCCCGTGGTCGGCGACCCAGCATCGCGCCCGTGCCCGACCTCGGCCAGAGCGACGAGGGCACGCAAATTGACAGCGAGGATGATGCCCTGGGCATCGAGGAGGAGAAGTACCTCGAGAACTCCTGGAACACACCCGCCGAGGAGTCCGAGTGAGTGCCACCACGACCCACTGATGATCGCTTTGTAAAAAGTCTGGGGTAGGCATGTAGGACTTGCCGCTGATAGACAGCGTGCGTGAATAAATAATCGGTATAAAGACGTGCGAATTGGCAAGTAAAAACAGAGCAACTATAAAAAAGCAAGGTGCTGAAGTGTGCATTCGGGTAATGTTAGCCTCAGGGGTAGCAATTTACAAAAAATTTGTAAAGAAGTTGTATTGTGATCAGGCGCTTGAGCTGAAAGTGAAATGTTTTTCTCTCCATTTTCTTTTTGTCAGGATTGTAAAAGGCTTCCCTCCAGTTACTCCTTATATAGGCGTCAGCCCCAAGCTTTGCTACTTACTTAGAGACAAGAAGCCGCTGTGCTGCATGCAGCTTGCTCAGGTAAGTACGGATGAAACTCTTACTGCTGTGTCGAATACTTTATGTCTTCAGTGGCACGTTATGCACATTCTGCACAAAGGTCATCTCCTTTAAGTGGCATACAATAAGTGTAACAGAAAATGCTGCATATTGACAGGTAGTGCGCAAAAGAACAGCATTTGTAACTTCTGCTTACGTAGCATCATGTACACTTTGTACACTTACATGCATACCAACATGAACCGCTACTGTCTTTTTGTATAAAAGGGACATGGTAAATTAAGCTCATTGTTCACATAATTTCCTTTACCAGTAAAGCTTACTAGACCTTCTGTTTAAAAGATGACTCTGAATAACGAAAGATTAATCTAAAATATAAATAGGTAACCATATTTGAAGCTGCGGTTCCAATAACTGCTATTAGAGTAGCAACCTCCACAGGTCTTGACGCGTTTGCACTGTGAACGGGTGAATGACATGTCTCCTCTTTTCGTGAACTTCTCTCCTTCTTGCGGGCTTCTGCAGTATGTAGTTGATTGAAAAACTCCGTTATAGCTTCAATCAAACCTTGAACCACGTAATGTCGAAATCACGATGCGATTGTTACTTTCCGCCATACATCGATGGTGTTCTCTTCTTCGATATGATGTGCTTAGTTTCTGCTTACTCATGCTCAGCAATGCGACCACTGCGAATTCCACAACGCGAAGCAGTACAACTGGCCCAATCGATGCGTAATCCTGGCGGCCGACTTCGCCAGCAAAGGCATCTACAACTTCATTGTGCCTCTTCGGGCACACTTCCACAGCCCCAACAGCCTCAGACCAATCGTGCTACTCCTGGAGAAGAAGTACGAAGATCGCTTTCTTGTCTCTTTAGATTCTTTGTCTCTGTCACTTTAGAAGTGGGATTTAGGCATCGCCACTGCGCACCTCATCCTTAGTTAGCACAGAACTCTCAGACAATATTGGGCGAGAATTAAGACTGTTTCAGAAACAACTGAGCATATTGCTTTGGGACACTCATACTATTAATTAAACAGTAACTTTACAAGCATTGTAAGCTTCACCGAGGCGTTAGGTTTTAAGCGAATTAGGGAGAACCAGCCATAAAACTGCTGTAAGGATTCTAGTAGATGACAGTTGAAGATTTTGCAGTGTTAATAAAAGGATAATATTTTGCAAAGGGGACTACCTACAATGGATGACGTTTCTGAAGTGTAAAGGCATTTGGAGGTTGAAGTTTCTGAAGTGTAAAGGCATTTGGAGGTTGAAGTTTGACAGATATTGTTAGGGTCTGATCGTGGTAACGTAAGGCTCTAAGGAAATGCTCACATCATCATCACAATAAGTACTTGTATGTATAGCTACCATGCAGTTCACATCTCGTCTAATTTATTGAGTGTAAGTGACATTAGGCTCATAAACGTCAGTCTTATTCGGCATATATGCGTTCTCATTTTTGTCTTCTAAGCCAAGCCGTCAAAACGAAAAGAAAATGTTGTTGAACAGGTTGCTAAAATATGAAAGAAGCAATGCCAAAATTACCACGAAGTTTTCACTATCAAAATTCCACTTTCGTGAGTGCTTGCGTTTTTTACATGCACGCATATAAGATGTCAGCTTCTCTCTTCGAGATCATAAGTTGCATACTGAACAGGGCTTATATTTAGCTTGCATGTCCAGTTGATATTACCGTTGACGAGGTGTTTGGTCGCTCTTATGGAGCAGGCAAACGGCTTATTTAGCTCGCTCACTGTTATCTGTTTCTTCATTAGCGTCCGTGAGCGGCATGGGTTTGAAAGCTTGCTGGACGCCATTACGCAGACACTAACCTTCGGTCATTGCGTTTGTTTGGTTTGTTTTTCAGACCTCACGCGGCGTTCTTAGATGCGATTTCATGTTTCCCATTGGTGTACTGGATGCAAGGTTCTATAGATGAGTAAGTGATTTTTTCTATAATAATGTGTGGCTTTACATGTGTGATGAGGCCGCATTGCTGGGAAGCGTTAGAGCTGTTTCGAACTCTGGGTAGTGGAACTTTGGGGTATGCTCGCATTCCCCATATCAGGAGCTGCTTGCTCAAGATATCTTCCTAATGAGCATGTGGGGCTAAGAGGGTGCATCACTGATAGATGCGCTTACTATGCATCTAGGATGGTCACTAAAGTAGGCAAATGACGTTGTAATACAACACGTGTCATATTATTTATCAACAAAAAAGTAGCTTGAAGTATTACACACGGGCCAAAAATCACAGGGGTCCACGTTTTGCGACGCAAAAAAGTTATGAAGTAGCTGTCTTTCATCAGCGTAATACGCTATCTGTAGCGGAGACTCAGAAGTGTTAGCACACTTTGTTATATCAAATCGTGTGCGAGGTCAGACCAATCTCCTAATAAGGTATCACAACTATTCATATATTGCAGCCTGGATGACCTGCTTAGGGCAGGCATCAACTTAGCTGACAGCGTGGTAGTAGTGAACAAGGAGTCGTCCAATTCAGCCGAGGAAGACTACCTGGCGGACTGCAACACCATCGTCGCGGTGCAAACGATGTTCAAGTAAGGCTGCCTGCTTTACCTCTCGCGATAAGCGGCGCTGAAAGTAACGTATTCACTGAGTACCTTATTTCCTCTCAATGCATGTGTGCACGTACATCGCTATATAGGTAGCCGGAAAGGATAAAGAAAGATACAAACGTGTGGTGTTCTGCGGCAAAAAAAGTAACTAGGGGCAATAAGGGGCGCCATTCTTGCACCCTCAGCATGGCATTATATTTAGTCTTTTTTTCTTGCTCCCCGATTCAGCAGTAATATACCTGTTAAAGATGAAAATTCAATTTTTTTTTCAGTAAGAACAAAATACACATCGTACAGTACGGAGCAGTATAGTGTTTATGAAGCGAGTTCATGCTCAGCTTACTGTGAGGTGGCAACATTTGTCACTCGCTGGCGTATCAAACGGGCCAGATGTGCCCCTTAGAATTTCTGTTTCAATCGATGTTCTGTAGACAATTAGTCTGAATTCTTCGTGCTCGGGAAATTACGAGTTATCATTCTTGTATGTCTTTGCCTTGATAGGAACTCCTTCGATTAGAGTCTCGCGTTAGATTTGATTTGACCAACGACAGTTGCGGCTTAGAAGCGCATTAGAGTAAGATTTGGCAATTACATATCTAGTTGGCGAATTCGAGTAACTTTCAACTGTCGGGATCAGTGGTGCAAGCAAAACCGGAGAACACGACTTCATTGTCTCATCTTTACCATTCGCATTTTATATTTTTTTAAATACATTTCCGGGAGGACCCTTTGTATTGTACGTGTGCCATGTTAGGTACACTTTAAGCGTGCACTCTTGTACATCGCGTGTTAAGACATTCACGAAGAACCTCGCGAAACGATTCACGAACTCTTCTAACACGTTCTTTTCGCGTTCGTGGCAGATTCTTCCCGAGCGTGCGCATCATCACCGAGCTGAGTCAGAGCAGCAACATGCGCTTCATGCAGTTTCGGGCGTTCGACACGTACGCGCTCCACCTTTCCAAGATGGAGAAGGTGAGCCTGCTCAACCAGGTAATGTGGCAGGCTCCTATGCTTACGTCCATGGCGCCTTCCATTGGGCCGAGGGACACGCCGGTGCTTCTTGTTCTTCGCCCCAACGCTTGCTTTGCTCCGGCTTGGCACTAACTTAATGCTAGTTGCCCAACGCAAGCCCCTATTGTTTTTTCTTTCAACTAACAGTAGACACCTGAAAAGAAAAAAAAGAAATTTATTTGGCAAAGGCCATTTTCCTGCGCATTTAAAAGCACGTACGGAAACCAATAAAAGGTATATCTGACATCTCAATGTACACACATGTCGAGTTTGTGAAAGTGAGGCGAAATTCTTCAAGGAATGACTAGTTGAAAAGATGCGTCTACTATGCTGTTTCGGCTATTGGAAGCAGCGCAGCGAAAGGTACAGTCCGAAGCTTTCTTTGTTGGCTTTTTTTGTGCAATGACTACATTATATATATATAAAGTACCTTAATGTGTGATCTCGGCTGCTGACCAGAAGGAAGTACGTTCTATCCCGGCTGTCGCATTTTGATGGGAGCAAAATGCTATAGAGGCCGGTATACTGGGCTATGTCAGTGCGCATTGGAGAACCCCGGCTTCTGTTACGGCGTGTCTCGTATTGTGCTAAACGTTTATATCTACAATTCGAGTCAACTCAAAGCATGAAAATGTGTACTGCAACGAGTCAACCATGAGCCGTTTCGTTACACCGGTGAGTTAACCGCGCTGATTCGGCCCCCGACTTTATGACGATTCTTCAGCTTCTACATATCTGCATACAGTAATGCTTTTTTTTTCTTTGCCATACGTTTCGCGTATACGGTAGTCTTGCAAGATGCAACAACTGCTCGTTGTATCAACGTTAAAAGAGCGCGTTGCCTAAATTTCAGAGGGATCAATTCGGCAATTTCCTAATTACAAACAAAGCTTTCCCTGTGTAGAAACAAACTTTCTTTACGTATGTAGGCATACTTTTTTTTTCAGGTGTCACGATAGAACTCAATAGTAAGTCCCGCCTAATTTACTTAATCTCGCAAACGCTGCCTGAAAGGCGTCCTTCTTGATGCCAATGGAAGGTGCCAAGTGCTGCTGCATGCTTCCAACTTTAGTTGCACAAGCTAGGCACCGCATTTGTGTAATATTCCCGTGCATGAGCGTAAGCTACCTACAGAGGCCGCTGACGTTGCAGCAATTCTCTTTAGTTTGCAGAGAACGTTAGCTCGAAGTCTAGCGTATCTGGCTGGCAGCTAACGCAATGGCTACCACGGCTAAACGGTTATAATCTCATTAGCGCCGCTCCTGCTTGTAGCGTATCATTTTCAATTATAACAACTTTTTTTTTTCGTCAGGCGCAAGCATTCACTCCCGAGCCAGGAGGCTGGAGGTGACACTCTGTACTTTTTATCGTTTGTTCAACTGCTTCTTGGGTGCTGTCGATTCCATGGGAGCCTGCTCCATCTCTTCTTTATTTTTACTCTTGTCTCAGGCCCTATTCGGCCAGAGAGAATTACTTTTGTACGTCGGATTACTGCTACTGCGCCATTTTGGCGAATCTTCTTTAGCCTTACGCGCTGCAAACTGTCATCGTCATTCACCGCGACAAAAACTGCCAGCCATGCAAGTATAAGGCGTTCCTTTTGTTTTTTCCAGACAGTGCTGTTATTTGCAGTATGGTCATGTACACGTTTGACGTAATGTAATTAGCGCTTTCCAAGTACAAGATTTTTCTTGCTTAATGAAGTTTACTTGAATTTGATATACTGCCGAGTAAATTCATTTTTTTTCGTATGCACGCGTTGTATACTAGACAGTAGCGCAAGAAATCCTGGTACCTTTGTTGTTACGCTTACAAAGTGCAGTGTCTTTCGGAAGTGCAGCATTGTGATGCGTAGGATTACGTTTCACTAAATTATTCATGCGCTTTCATAACGCGGTTGATGAACACGTCACTATATGCACACGCTCGTAAATTTTCGCACCGCACGCTTTTTGCACACAACCGTCTAGTCGGTATTGCTACATCCTCACCAACACATGTTCTTTTTGTTGTCTCTCTTTTTTTCTCCCCCTCCTTCCCCAATATAACGCAGCGAGAGAGGGATCGTGGCTCACATATTTCTTACATGTTTCGGCTTCCCTTCGCCGCCGGCAATGTGTTCAGTGCGAGCATGTTGGATACCCTCCTGTATCAGGTACGTCAATGCGGACCTCAAAGCCTCCTCTAATAGGTAGGTACGGTTAAATGGTGTTCGGCTAGAGATATCCTAAGCAGTACGACACATGCCGGTCCGTTTCACTTATATAAAACTATGTTTGTCAAAAAAAATTGAACAAGCATAAATGTTAAGGGCTATGTAGCAAGTAAAAGCACCATCGCATGAAACAGGGTAAAATGCGTAAAATTGATGCTCGTAAATTTAGCCCATGTACGTACTTCTAATAAAGTATTTCAGTATGCTGAAATTCATTATTTCACGGTTAATAATAGAGCACTCCGCATGTCTTGCCCAAATGACAGTAATCATATGGAGCGCAGTATACAGCGTAACTATATATCCGAGGACTACGGTCCAGCGACACGTAGGTCCTGTCATATATAGTGCGCAAAAGCGCATCACCACTGTGCTTCTGCAGAAAAGACGCCGTGGAACTAGCACCTCGTGTCGTGGGTTGTCACGCATGTAATAGTCATGGAAGGTCGAATACCATTCATCACTTACGCTGCTTTCACTTAGCCATGTGCAATCTACAGCCACATTCGGTCGACACTGCATTGTCTCTCGCGTTTGTCAGTTGCTTTCTATTGTTTCGCGAGCATTACTCAAATCTTACTGCGGAGCCACTTTGTAACTCGGCAAGGCACATTTAGAGCCCTTAGGATCCTTCGTTCACGCAAGAAACGAGAAAGTGCGGAAAACATGTCGTTGCTTACGTAAGACAATTCTTGAGCTACAAGGGTGTCATCGTCTGCCGAGCATAGCATACAGTGAGACATCACTATGTGTTCTTGAATGAAATTTCTTACACAATCAGGAAACGAAATTGCTGGCGTCATATAGTATTGATCGCAGCGCAACAGACTTGTGAAGGTTACAGAGCCGATGATATTCGCGGATGCGATTCACGTCATTAAAAAAATAATGTGCCTTCAGCTTACTCGTATAAACTGCTGGCAGGCATAGAACGTGAGTCTGAAAGACCACTGAGCTGTTTTACTCGAACAAAAATAAGTGCTGTCATGGTTTCTGGAACGTGGGATGTAATCAATTTTCACTCAGTGGTCGTGCACATACAAGAACTTATTCGCGATGGTTGAAGATGTGGATGTATGAGATGCTGGATAAGAAAATAAGATGCCATGACAACCTTACCGGGATGGAAAAAAATGCACGCCCTTTTTAGGGGTGGTTCATTTTTTTCTTGCACTTTTCGCCGTACTGTTACCCTCTGAATTTATTGAAATGTCACGCGGCACAAAAAATAAGCGCACACAATATAACCATCAAATTATAGGGCGCGTGACTAATCACGCAAGTGTAATGGTTCAGCTCGAAAGTATTAGTTTTACAATGTAGTCTTGATATGATTGTGCACCTCATATTCGAAAACCAGATGTTTTCCAGGTGATAAGTTTCTTATTGTTTCAAATAAGAGCGCCATACGTAATCGTGGGCAGGACAGACAGAAACAAGCGCTTACTACCAATTGCAAGTTTAAACGCTCTATGTTTGCTGCTTCAATTGTAATCCTTGTGCGGTCATTTTTATATTGGACAAACTGAGAGATGCTTTAACGACAAATTGCGTGAGCGTGCTTGCAACGTTCGCAGCGGCAGCGATTGTTTTCAGGCTCATTATGTTCCTAGATGTGGCTGTAGAGTTAAGTATGGCAAGACAGTCGTAGTTGATAAACACAATGATGAGCGCACAAGGATTTTAATTAAAGCAGCAAACATAGCGCGTGAATACTTGACTTGCATGATCAAATCGTTGATAGCTCTGTCTGGTAAGGACTTGGCGTTTTTGGGCAGTCGCAGTTGCCATAAGAGTTAAGTAATCGCTTAAGACAAAATGGGCGTTAGTAAGGGGGAGAAGATATACATAGATATTTTATCGGTTTTGTTATTTTGGTTTGCGAGTTGGTCTTGTATGTGCTTGCGAAATGTTCCACCAGTCGCCCCGCCGCAGTTGTCTAGTGGCTAAGGTACTCGGCTGCTGACCCGCAGGTCACGGGTTTGAGTCCCGGCTGCGGCGGCTGCATTTCCAATGGAGGCGGAAATGCTGTAGGCCCGTGTGCTCAGATTTGGGTGCACGTTAAAGAACCCCAGGTGGTCGAAAATTTCCGGAGACGTTTCACGTTTATTATCCCGATGCATACCCCAGCAACATATGCCCATCATGTGGACACACAGCGACACTCGCACACATGCTTTGGGAGTGTAGAACAACTCCTCCCGACTCTACCTCAAACAAGTGGGAGAGGTTCCTCAGGAACTCACTTCTCACCGACCAGCAATGGGCCGTCCAGCAGGCCCACGAAGCGGCCGCCAGGTACTCCCTGTCGGTCCCTACGTGGGACACAGCCGCTGTGCGCTTAGCGCGTCCTGCAGGACTGAAATAAAGTTTTTTCATTCCATTCCCTCCACTACGGCGTCTCTCATAATCATATGATGGTTTTGGGACGTTAAACCCTATATATCAATCAATCAATCAATCAATCAATGTTTCACCAGTCGGTACATATTTCACAGCTTTCAGATTAAACATTTAGTGATAGTAAGCGCTTGTTGCTGTCTATCCTGTCCACATCTACGTACCGCGCTCTCATTTCAAACAATCATAAATCAACAACTCGCCCAATCAACCATTTTGACAAGTTAAATTCATGTTTGTCTTCATTGACGTTGCAATCGTATTTTATAAGAAGCTTATCCCCTTACTGTCACTGTAGTCGAATTATTGAAAATGCTATTTCATTGCGTCACACCGGTTTGATACATTTAAATAATCCGGTGCTTTAAGGAAACGCCGGACTAGCAGAACGGTTTTTTCGTTTTCATGATCTACTATAACATGAGACGTTCCTATTTGTTCAATTATAAAACACCGAAAAAAGAAGCCGCTAGCGATCTCACTGTCACATCGTTCTCACCCTAAATAAACTTGTTTGTTTTTTTCAAAAATTAAGATATCGAAGAAAGAACAGTACAGTTGGCGCAATTGTGTGAATACACACGGCATGCCACAGTGTAATGAACAAAAGTGTAGCAGTAGCGTTGCCATATAGAAGCATGAAAGTCACTGTTTCAATTTCCATGGTTATACAAATTAAAGTTATAGTTCGGAGAACTGAGTGCCGGGCGAGCTGGTAATAAGTACTGGCGATAAACTGCGCGGAAGAAAAAAAAAAGTAAGGACGTCAAAAGAACGCAATGCCGTGTCCGTCTCTTGTTCCTTTCTTAGGCATGGAGTTTCTTTTTTTTTTTTCGCGCAGTTTGCTGTCAGTAAAATTACTTTACCAGAAATTTGAGACCTACCTCGGAATGAACTGTTGTGGTATTAAAAAAAACCTGTACAAGGTTCTTCTCCAGAAACTTAAATATTAGCTCTGTTGTGTCACTGTCCGTTCAATTTAGCGATTTGTACATTCCTGGAACGTCGCCTCTACGCTTGACTTGTATTTACAAAGTTATCAGCTTTGCCTTTTCTTTCAAGCTTTTCTTTCACGCCGGAAACTTACAGCACATTATTTACGTTTCAATTTCTCTATTACTGAAGTGTACATAAGTGAATCAAGTACATAAAGTGAATCACACCATGTTTGCTCAAAGCATACGTATAAATGCATGATTAATTTTTTTTTCTTTAACCTCTGGCACCTTCTACAGGCTTTTGTCAAGGACTATGTGATAACGTTTGTGCGTCTGCTTTTGGGCGTTGACCAAGCACCGGGATCAGGATTTTTGTCTTCGGTAAGTTGTTGAAATGTTCGGGCACCCCACTTATGACTGTGAACTTCTCAGATTTTTTTACTCGATGTTTGTAGCTCTACGCACTTAATTTACAGCGTTTTTCTTGCGTGACTAGGGTAGTAAGCAGTGTCGAAAACAGGCTTGTAGGTTCGAAATGCAGCGATCTTGAGTCCCGCGTATCATCTGTCGAAATATTTATATAAGTATTGCGCACGCACAGCTTCTCGAGAAAACTGGCCAATTTCATCGTTAAGTAAATGAGGTTCACAAACAAGCGTGCACCAGTTCACAGCCACTCATTTTCGGATTCACTTGTCTGCAGTTTCACTTCTCGCTAAAGTATATTGGAGCCAGAATATATACACTCTGACATCGTTTCCGCGTGGACATCGCAAGCTGGGCATCTGTCTGACTTGGTGTTTTTATTTACGACGTATATCTTGCGAGCATATCATAAGTGTAAAAACTGCCTGAAATTAAAGAATTGATCTTTGTGGTAGTCAAACGTTAACAAAAATCGCTTTTCTTCGCATGCAGCATTAAATACGCAACATCTGAGTGACGGAAACCTTGCTTCTCATGGAGTTTAGTGTGCGCGTGGAGTATGTATGTAGTTGGTTTTTTGTGTTTTTGTTTCTGCCTCTCCTTCCCTGCATACGCACAGATGCGAATTACAAAGGACGACTTGTGGATCAGGACGTACGGGCGTCTGTACCAAAAACTTTGCTCAACCACGTGTGAGATCCCCATCGGCATCTACAGAACACAGAGCACGACTAACCCAGAAGGATCGACTGTGAGTGCCTGTCAATATTCATACCTTCATTGGCAAGGAAACGAGGTGTAACATTTGTATTAATGCTATTATTAGTTTAATCTTAGAGTGAGTCGTAGTCACTAAAGCTGATTTTTTTTCATTTAACTAAAAAAATGAATGAAAGACGTTGATGTTTTCTTCTTGTGCGTCAACCCTAACAAACTGAAGCACTGTGAATCAGCATGCATTAGAGAGAACTGTCATCTTTCGCTTTGCGCTGTCTGGTTTTCTCGCTTCTAATTGTATATTGTTCTAATGCTAGGTCATCTTCATTTAAGCATCCACGTTTGAGCATCCACTGAAATTGTGTTTCATTGTTGCTTTTGCAAGTTCGTCTTTGGCTTATTCGTTTTTACTAGTGACTAGCTTTTTCGTTTGGTTATTTTAACTAATAAGAGCTGAATATTTCTGCATATGAATTTTAGTTTGCATCAGCTTTGTTTTCTGTGTGCTTATATCTTGTCTGCATGAAGCATTTTTGTCGTCATCAGCAGCCTAAAAACCTGTATGTAACGTTTGATCAATCAGTCTGCTGTGTTTATCTGTCGTAACAGGAAGCCAGAGCTTAAATTTAATTAGATAAATAACTGTGACATAAGATAACGCCTTGTGAAGAAGCTGATTGAGTGTAATAAGAAAGATTTAGGCAGAAAAAATAATACATTACCTGAGGCGAGAGTGCGTTACGTTATATTCGAAGCATAGATTCAAAAGAACTTTAAAGCACTTTCTTGAAGACGTGCAATACAAAGCTTGTCTTCATTGCAGGTGCTGTGAATTTCGAATTTTAACAAGGAACTTTAGTTGTCCATTACATAAACTAACTCTTCAGCTTATTCCTCGAAACAATAGGCAGATGTATCGGCCAGTGCATGTGCTGAATACTTCATCTTGCTTTGAACTGCGATCAGACATTGTCAACTATATACGACTGCGGCGTCACGCTATAGTTGAGCCTGCTTCACGTATATGCAATCCGTGCCGCGGCTTAGTTACCAAACCTATGTTATCGCTCTTTATTTTTTTATTTTACCTAGTGATAATTCAGTTTCACTGACCAAAAAAATCGGTCTGCAAGCTTATTATTAGTTACAAGATGCTCAGATTTTGATTCTTTTCGTGAAATGCAGAATCACAGGTGCAAAAATAGGTTGAATTTGTTAGTCTGTCACCCAGTTTTATTCACACCACATGAGCCTAAGGTGATCAGCAGTAGGGAAGTCATCATTAGTAGTTCTGCGAATAACGACATTGTTTATGTTTCTTTATTATTATGTAGCATGGCTCCTGTAGCGAGACCACAACGAAATTCAGGTCCACATTGTTTGCATTCACTTTTAAGGCAACGTTCAGTGTAAATTTTCATTTATCTTATTGTATGCTCCCGTAAATCCAAACACAAGGTTAATCATCCCACTAAAAGCCGGCTTCCAGAGCGCCTAGTCTACGTAGATGATGAGTCATCATTCGCACTAGCATTGATAAATACAGTGAGAAATAGTTGAAATGGACACCCCAAGCAACTGCCATATTTCAATGATACGCGAAACAAAGCGAAAGATTTAGACTTGTATTTCGCAGTTCTATGTTAAGTCATGCCCCGACAAAGGCAAAAAAAAACAAATAAGACACGAGCAGCGCCCAATGTTAAATTATATTCATACAAAGACACTAAAGAGATGTACGCTTTTCATGAACTCTTCATGGGCTCGATATTCCTGCAGAGAGGACTTGATGACGCGCAACGAAAGCTTCACTTGCAAGCGCATGCGCACATCCGAAGTTCGATTTCCTACATGTGCTAACCAATAGGTGTGCCGCCCACGCTCAAACGTTGGCCAAAACGACACCTCCCCGAAGCGAACAACTGTTGTGGTGCGAACGGCGTTGTGTTGCCAGGCCGAGGCAAAGTCCAAAGGCCCGCAGCTGCGGAGGCCTTTCGACCCGCGTACTCCGTACCCGGCCGGCGCTCCAGGCGTCGCGGCGGGGCTGCCTTGTCCCGACGAGATCCACCCGCTACTCGGGGGTTCGGTGCGGCGAAAGCCCTACCTGCCCCAGTACCCTCCGCCCATCCTTGTCCACTCGGCCGAGGAGGTGAGCCGCCTCGCGCGCACACCATGCGCCACCGGATGGCACACGGCGAAGGAATGCGCCCGCGAGCATGCTGCGCACCGCACCGACCACGAGACGACAAAAACCGCCGGCACTATTCTATTCGCAACTCTCTCAACAACCCCACTGGAACGGTGCATAGTGCAAGCAGCCGACTGCTACACAAGAGAACCTCGCATGCTCCTTTGTGTCGTGTCTCCTTCGTGTGATCAGATCCTACTGCGTGAATCTATCTAGGGCTTTTCAATTCTAAGGCACATGCCAGTAAAATGGACTTAAACATGTGTGTGACAAGCGCTGAGGTCTTTCCGAGCAAAAGAGAAATGTTTTTAGAGTATGCTTCGTACAACGTGCGGATTGTGCGTGGCTGATTATATTTCGAGCAATGAAGAAAGGTTATCTTCCCCATATTCGGTTCAATCTTGTACCTTAGGCCAGCAGTCCGTTCACTATTGGTCACAACAATGTCTTTTACGTCGTATGAGAGCTCACGCTATACCCTGTGCGCTCAGCGCTCACTATAAGATCTCAAAGGCCGTCGGTATCTACTGCAATAACCGTTCATCGTTTGCTACTACTGCAGACAGTTCATTCGTGTAAAGTGTTTGTCATTGGTGAGACCTGTAAGTCAATACAACGTTCCGGAGCGAAAGAGTAAGCATGTTTTTTTTTTTTCCATGTCAAATACGTTCGCAGAAGCACCACGAATGGCGCAATAAATGCGGCACGCGGTGCCGACGGTGTCACTCACGTGAACATGGTCTCGGGTGACGCCGTACTGAATGAGCCGGATGCTGATTAAGACTTGTTGGGCTCTTTGGTAATTCGTCATATTGTAACTAATTTAGCGCAACTTGGAACTCCCACGAAACTCTCTCTCACAAACACACACACACACACACACACGCACGCACGCACACACACACACTTCCCCTCAAGGAACACACACCACTCACTACCAACTGTTTATTGTGCGTTACTTACATCTTATGTATACGCACAGATTGTTGCGCAAAAGCAATGAACGAAAAAAGATGCGCATGTGCATAGATTCAACAAGTGATGCAAGAACCAGCCATGGCGCACCACCGAACAAATTAACAAAGCATTTTTTTCTTTGTTTTTATGTAGTGGTGGCTGGTTCTTGCATCAATTGTTAAATCTATGCGCATGCACATTTCGGATGCTCATTGCTTGTGCACATTGCCCTGTATGTATATAAGATGGTCAATCACGCGCAATAAACAGTTGGTAGTAAGCGGTGTGTGATGTGTGGGTTCCTTGAGGGGAAGTGTGAGTGTTTCAGGGAATTTCAAAGTTGCGCTAAATTAGTTTCAATATGGCGGGTACTGATGGTTTCCCTGGTTTCCCTTGTTTAGGCGACTGCTTTTAGCGAGAAAGTTATGGTGTAAGCGGCAGACTTCTCCTTGGCCCCACCCTTAATTAGCAATTTCTTTTTTCGTGTGTACCCTTGTAAAAATGACCACTAGCACCATCCAGTCAAAGCACACTCAACATCCCCACCGACCCTGTTATTCGACAAGTGAACTCGGCCTGGGCACCACCTGCACACTTTTCTCTTCAGGGAACTAACACGGCTTCTGCGGATTTGTGTATTGATAAGCTGGCGTTTCGAGATAACTATTACAAAGAACGTACAACAGCTGTTCGAGTTCTTGCGCGAGAAAAAGTTACCACGCAGTGGTAAGTGATGCTGCTATGCTCAAAGGCAAGGGGTAACGTCCTGTCTGTTCACATGCTTCCCGGCCTTCTATGGCGTTGTCAAATAAAATCCTGCAACAAACTTAATCGCTTTTATGCCTGAAAGCACGGCACACATAAGAGGATGAATTAGAATCAAGGAGGTTAACCAGGTTCACGCCAGCAGTTTCAACGGCACTTCCGAATTAGAAAGCTAGAATGACGACGAGAAGACAGCGAACTTACCAAGAACAAATGCTATCTATATCGTTACAAAGAAAAAAAAAACAGAACTTAGGGGTAACTAGTGAAGAAATAAATTCCCCTACACAGACTATTCCTGGCGTGTACTTACAAGAGCTTAAAGCAAGTCAGAACTTATCACGCAATCCTCATATTACTGAGGAGAAGTGGAAAAACGTGCTCGAGAGAGAGAAAAATAGAAATGAGGGAGCCTAATTAGGATGAAAAACATCTGGTTTGGACAAGTATACCTCAGAATTATTTCCGTTTACAAGGGGAGACTAACCTGCGTGTCTAACGCAGGTACTTCTACCTTCCCTTTCATACTGCATAGAATGGCAGAATCAGATTCTCTATGTGCGTCTTGTGTGTGACGTAACTTGGTGCGCTCGTTCGCCTCCGCTGCACGCTCGAGGAACTCTAACGCAGCGCCTCCAGAATACCACTCACCGATTTTATTTTTTTTTTTTTGCAGAATATCAAATTAACGATGACGATAGTTATAGCGCGAAAACAAAACAACACAGAGACAAGAAGGACACGAATTCTTGTCTCTGTGTCGTCGTTTTGTTTTCGCGCTATAACTATCGTCATGCCATACCAACTAGCCCAAGCTGCCACATATCAAATTAACGTTTTGTTCAGTCTCTCCAGGCGCAAGACTATCGACAACATTTGCATATTAACATGCAGATACGGGGCCAATTTTTTCGTGAATCAAACAGAAACTAACAAGCAGCATTTTATTACCTCTCTTGATGCACGGAAGTTTTTTTATTTAGTGCAGCTAGCTCGATTACTAGTGATTAATTGTAGGTGGTATGTCTGACATTATCGAGATCATTTTGCGAATGCCCTAGTAGTGGTGCATGTACTCTTTTGCATTTACCTTAATTTCTCGGTAAGCGGGGCACTTCTGTTAGATTGTCGTCTTAATAGACGTTGTCGTGTATTAAGCTTTCTTTTTGACATAAATTGTTATTTGACCTTAATGTCCTTTTAACGTGCACCCAAACCTCGGTACGCGTACCTCAAGCATTTTTGCTTCAATCGAAAATGCGGCCTGCGCGGCGGGGATAGAGTTGTTAATTCTTGGCGTGTTAATCATTGGCTAAATGTCAAGTAATGGTGTTTATTCACCTGGTTGAGCCTGCCTCAGTTCAAGACGCGCTAGGAACGACATCAACCGAATCACCACTTGTAAGTGAAACAGCTATAGATAGGCATGCCTCGAGAAACATGGCTGATCCCTCTGTCATAGGAATCAATATAACATGAAAGTGAAACGTATCCTCACAAAATAGTGGAATATTTATTGGTCATCGATATATGATACCTTGTGCAATACCTATCCATATAGAACTGCTATGAGTGCAGCAACATGGTCGCATCCACTTGACATGATGGAACCGCGTTGACGCTTGTAGCGGACATCTCCATCGCGACGATTGACGCCCATGATTCTGAAAAAACAATTGTGGTAGCTCAAGTTGTTAATACATACCTGGACACACCATATTGTAAATTCCGCGGAGAGGTGACGGTACCAAGCACATACAAAAGTCACAGCTTCACCGCAAGGGCGAAGCCATGAATGCGAAAGCAACATATGGGAATGTCACGCGTGGAACGCCTAAGAGCTCGAAACTTGCAGTGCTCAGCTCAACTGCAAAAGGCGCATGAAAAGAACACACACAGGACCAGCTCTAACTAATAATTTTCGCAGCTCGAAACATGAATCGCGCTGCTCAAACGCGAAGAAGAATGCATGAAACAAAAGGAGAAGTATACAAAGCTTGGGCGCGATCTAACAACGGTCACGCGGTTACTTTTTTGTGTTCGAGCAGGGTGGTCCTTTCGCAAACGCGGCCGATGCAGCAAGCGAAGTGACCTTCGTGTGCTCTGCAACTTCACGCAAATTTTGTGGCCAAAGCGAAAGACGCACAGACAACCCCCTCAGAAAAAATTGGCCCCGTATATGCTTGTTTCACTGCAAATGCCGTTGAAAGACGGTAGTCTTGCGTCTGGAGAGAGTGAAGAAAACGTTTATTTGATCTTCTGCGCGAGAAAATTGTTGAATGGTATTCTGGAGACGCTCCGTTAGAGTGCCTCGATGCGGAGGCGAACGAGCGCTTCGAGGCACGACACACGTGAGGCATGAGCGCTATCTGGAGTTGTCTTGGAAAACGAAGCACGTGGCGTGTGCGCCCGTCTCGGAGGCGATAAGGTGTAGAATGCGAGGTGACGGGTATAGGCCACCACCGTGTCATCTTAGCAAAGCTTTGGAAACACTTGCCTTTTCGTGCATAGCGTTGCATTTGCAGCGCAGTGTGATAAACGCTACGGTCCTTAGAATTACTTATGTATACCTTCTGTAGTATAAAGACACACATACAGAATATTGACGTGTTGTTGTTGTGCCTCAAATGTGCGCAATAATTGCTTTTTAATTGACAATCGCACGAGTATGAACCTTGACACTTGAGTAGTATCGGCTGGCGCTGCGGATGGGGTTAAATTTTGGCCGTTTTGAGTATCGTTTTGGCGGGCAAACAGACAAGTCCACCGACGGACAGATAGACTAAAAGTTTTGCGTCTAAGGTCCCCAAGAAAGACTACTGTTCTTACGTCTTTAATAAGTGTGTGCGCACGGCTGACTTCACCCTGTAGGGTAAAGAACAGCCGAAAGCGCATCATAACGAGCGGGGCAAAAGCCTTTTAGGCGCGCCCTTCACGCGCGTCATGCCATCTCGCTGGTGATTGTGTGATTACGCTTAAGTACTTCCTAGCACTGCGTACGGCCAGTAGTGGTAAATGGTGTATATAAATGGTTGTCATTAATGCGCTGAAAGAGTACATATGCTCTGTGACCGAGTTGTTCAGCGTCGCGCGCTGTGTATCGAAGGGTTCTGGTTTTGATTCTATGCGGCAGAACTTCTCTTCTAGTTGTCTTTTTCTTTGTCATCTGTACGCGTACTTTTTACAAAGTCACATATTTGTGACGAAAACACATCAGTCAAGGTCTTGTACTCTGGCGTCAACTTTACTTTCGGGTTTAAATGATATGCTTTCCGGATCTGATGCATCCGAGGAATGTTACGTTGTAATTGTGCGCTGCTAATTGCAACAGCACATACGCATTGATGGCACTGTATGAACCCATGTCAATGTGCCTAAATACCAACACTTTTTCTCCATATCTTACATACAACTTATGCTTCTCAAAAAACAGTGGTAACGAGGTAGAAAAGGTTGCGAACGCATAAGTAAATTAGTGAATACTGCTTCACGAGCACTTATTGTGTACTTGTGAACTAACCGCAACAAACGATAGCCTCACTTATAATTGTTCCGCCTGAAGTGAAGGGACGTTACGTGGGGTCATCCTTTGTTCGCCTTCCGCTGTGTTTTGAGAGCGCACATCACTTATTCAAAGTATGTGACAGCATAATCGTAGCGCAGTGAGTTTATCTTCGTGATAGGGGCCAGAAATCAATCAGCCCAAGCGTATGTCGCAATGCTACCGGTCAACATTACCGCATCTTTTAAAACATGTAAGATGTAAAGCAAACTGAATAAGCACCCACAAGGATATGTGGTTCTGGTGTGAACTGATGGTTCGCTGCATTCCCATGTGGCACGTGACGTCCGATGCATGAACAATAAGCGCATGTTGTACTCAATACTGTTGACTCCTCATTCCTTCTTTTTTCTCCATGTTCATGCTGCGTTCCCATTCGGTTGTCTTCAATAAATCGTGCTGTAGACTATTTTTATGTGTGCACGTTCTGTTAGCGCATGAATGATGCATGTCTCGTGCACCTATGTCTGTCCACACTTCGATTTGTGTGCCACTTTTCAGTCAAATTTCCGACGTGCCTTTCACAAGTGTTATCTTCCGTATGTCGCCTAATGCGTTTCACGGTGCAGTCAGGATGAAGCGCTCTGGAGTATCTCAATGCGCATGAGACGGGGGAACTGTTTGTCAGAATTATTTGAGTGAATCTTTGACAGAGAGAGAGAAAAGAGACGAGAAAGACAGGAGACTTTATCAAGAAAAAGACAACCAGTTTGCTACTCTGTACCGGGTGAGGGTGTGGGAAGAAATACACTTGAAAATGAAAGGTTTGTCCAATAAATAAGCTACGATTTTCTTCATGCAGCGTCCAGCAGCATAACGTAATGGGCAAATGTTTAGCAAGACATAGCAGCCGACAGCACCGTGCGAGAGTCTTGCCACTGACTTCGAAAGAACTCCATCACCGAAATTTTGGATTGGTGAACACTCGGAGTGAACCTTCATTAGTCTAAATGTTATGCCCAATGAAATAAATCAGTGTAACAGCCCTATCACGCTGGTTTTAAGCTTTTTTTAGTGATGCTGGTCACTAAGGTTTTTAAAAAGACTGGTACTGTGCTTCAGAACGCACTATCGCGTGCTTTTCAGCGTCACACTCCTTGGTGGCTCATGTTAAAATTAAGAGCCGTATTCAAAAAAATTTTCATTTGCAAGTGCGTTCTCCCATCGGTCAGCCGGCGGCACTAATGACATGTACCGCATCGTGATTGGCTGAACTATCTTCCCGAATATTCTAGTCTATGACGTTTATGCGAGTACGGGCCTATAGGTCACGTTTTTTATTACTAGTCTGCTCGTCTGAATGAGAATTCCTTCTACTGAATAAACTGGCCAAATTAGTGCGCAGAATACTCCTTCGTGAAAATTCTTGCTACTGTTGGGAACTTCAGGTGATTTATTAAGCTAAAGTATAAGTATATAGCTGGGTATTGTACGTAAGCGCTTTTTTTACTAACAGCACATCTTTTTTTATTCGACGGTATAGGTCTCCCTGGACCTCCTAGATGACAAGGCCACGTTCAACGAGAACATCGAGCGCCAGGAGATCGGTACTTTGGTGCGCACACGTATGCAGGATCTGGGCCTGCCCGTACAGGATTATGGTGCGTACATCACTTACGTTTGTTGATCTTTTTACGATTTGTGTCTGAGCCCGTGCATGGATATGAATATACTTCTCAAACCCGTAAATTAGCTCTGTTATGGCTATTGCAGAAGCTAAGCAAATACGCCATTGCCTAATTATTACCTGCGTATAGCGGTAGAGGACTCATGATTTCATACGATACTTTATTTTTAATTTTTGTATTATTGTACTTCACCTTTGGCTTGAACAAACAACGCCGAAGTTATCGCATGGATTGAGCACCCGACGCGACGTATGACAGGAAGTGGACAATATCTGACGTGAAAATAATTAGAAAATGGTGCGCCATCAAGGATGTGCCGGGTTGAGCGTTCTCAAGATTAAACAAAAAAAAAGCTGAAGCATAGTACTTTCTAGCTGCTACGTTTCATTCATGATTGAAAAATATTAACACGCTTTAAAATGATAATATCAAAAAAATACCCACCCCCTTTTCCAAAAATGACACTATTTAATGCATGCGTTGTGCACTCACTCGAGCAAGAGCATTTCTGCCTCTTCGTGACTCTGCCTAAAGACTCTATAAACTTATTCTTTACAGATGAGGTTTCGGACAAGCGGCACAGTTTGTCGTACGTGATAATTAACCCAAACTGTGACCTACCACTCGAAGAAGGAGACATCATGTAAGTAATGCCTCGTTTCTCCACAACTTTGCCCAGCTTGCACGTTATCGATGCTTGTGCCTGGATGCTGCGATATCTGTCATGTGCCTGGGTAAACAAGCCTTCAGCATTTAAGAGCTGTGCGCGATTGCAATGCACATATTTTCTTTATTCCAAGGAGTATTGTGAGCAAGTTTTTGTCACTGGAAATGAAAGAATAGCCAAACTCCTCCCAACGTTGTATGGATCGTTCACATGCATATATCGAAGAAAACTATTTGTTAAGAAGTAATTTTCTCATGAAAAAAAAATTGGCATCCACCCGTTTGTAGCAGAAAGCTGAAAGAAAGTATTTACGGATTCAGAAAGTAAAGCTTCTTAGTTCAGGAAACATTCGTCGTGATTCGCGAATCTAACCTGAATCCAAACCCTGTCCGGAGTGATTGGTCTATCAACTGACCTAATCAGGAGGCTAGTAACTGCAGCAGGACAACGAAGTAATAGATAACACGAAGAACGCGTTTGGTAGACGCCCATTTTTTTCGAACGGTCTTCAAGTACATCCCTAAGTAATGTGCTTACGATCTAAAATAAAACGAAGGGTAAACAAATAGCTTGGCTTCAATTTTTTATAAGTTGTTGAAATGTCTTTTTATCAATCCAAAAGTGTACAACAAATATAATTTGCTTTGTGCTGATAATTCTACTTTTTCGTCTTTTATTTTTTTCTCAGTTCATGTCCATTTACCCTGTTAATAAGGCTGTTGATAGGCAGTGCTGAAACTCGCCAAAGTCTACTTTTGTAAGAGCAGGAGCTAATGAAGCTGCCCATCAGTTCTTCTCCCATCCTCTCTCATCTTATTGACGGACAATGAAGGACATATTATCAATATTATTCTCAATACTCCTAAATAATAGATAAAATGATATTCGAACACAAAAACGTGTGATCACACTGCGTGTATGTTGGATGTCAAGAAGGTTTGAACGTGCAATCACATACATACAAGTGCAAATACTTAAAAAAAAAACACCTACGTTTCTTCGCATACCAGCTTTTCAGCTACTTGTAAAAGACGCAAGCGTATTTTACCAAGTTGCTGCCGCTGATGAATTAGCGCTTTACTCGATTGGTGATTGTCAGCGTGGAGTATGCCTTTCTAACATTAAAAATGTCCTTTTAAAATCAAAGCTCATCAAATAAATCTGTATTGTCCGCAATTTCACTGGCGAGTCCTTATCGGACTATTTGTGAATTTATTCGGAAACACCCCTGCTCTACATTACTTTATACTCTACCGATCGCCTATTGACTCAACGGTCAAGAGCGGGCTGCTACACGGGACGTTTCGAAGGCTCTAGAGTCCATAATCTAACTCCTTCAAAACTTTGATAGCCATTGAGGCATGGAAGCAGAAACAGCGCCAACGGGCCCTGTCGTTCAAAGCGTGCCTCGTACATATAATTAGAAAGGAAGAAAACGTGGTTGATTCTTATGTTTAGAAATCGGTATAACACGAAAGTGACAAGTGTCTTCGCAGAGCTAGTTGAGCAGTCATTGTGCATTGTTTCGCCACAAGGGCTAAGTAATGAATGCAGCAGTAACAAACTGCAACGTCACGCGAAACACGGTAAGCAGCTCGAAACTTGCATCTCACACCTCAAGCAGAAAGCACGCACGAAATAAGCGTGCACAGGACGAGCCCGAACAATTATGACACCTCAACACTTAAAGCACGCTGCTCAAACAGAAAGAAGGGCACACAAAATGAACGCAGAGAAGAACGGTCAATCAGGGACAGAACGAGCTCAAAGAACAGTCACAATACTAAATTCTTCGTGTGCGAGCAGCGCGTTCCTTTCGTAAACGCGGCCGCGGCAGTGAGTGAAGTGATGTTCTGGCTCTCTTTAAATACTGCAATTTCAAAGCAAAGTTGTGGTGGAAGAACACGAGGTACAAAATGCACAAATTCCGAGATAAGCGCTCGTGCGAGTGGTCCACAACGCTAGTCAACATATACACGCCATTCCACCACGCCCTGTGGAGGCTTAGTGGAGGCGCGAACACTGCGACACGCGGAGTCGTTTCATCTAACTACTGATGACGGGAACGCGCTGAAGTTGCCGAGCTCTGAGAACCACCGGTGGTACATGGTAGATATAAATGGCTCGCCGTTCACGTGCTAGAGAGAGGTTGTTCTGTGGTGTAGGGGTTAGTTCCGCACGCTGAGGAGCGCGAAGTCGCTCGTTCTTCACCGCGCTACAAAACTTTACGTTCTCGTTTTTTTTTTGCAATCTGTTTTGAAATACTTTACAACGTCAGAACCGTGATGAAAATACGTCACGTAGCTGTGTTGGACCGTGGCATAATACATTTTTGTGCTAAAAAAAAAGAAATCTAACTAGTATGCTTTGAAAGCAGAGTGAGGGTTGCGAATTAATTACTAGAGCATCTTTTTTTTCAAGTTGAAATGTGAAAAGTGCACATACTATCGACAACTGCAACTTACTAGTCTTTATTGTGCTTTTTTTGTCGTATATTGCTCGCCACTTTTTTGCTGCTGAACAAGTGAAAGGCTAAGTATGCATTCTTAACTATGACTACAAAACTATTGAAATACTGAAACAACATTAACAGACATATTTGATTTTTTAAGCGAACTTGTATCATGTAAACTTAGTCAAATTAATACAAAAATAACAATTTGCAGCGCCACACAATTTTCGCGAGAAACGCCTGAGCCACTCAACGGCCTTTCAAAACGGCCGCGTTCGACTGGATAGCCTTTCAAAGGGGTCCATGTGACCTTTCGAAAGGTCCCGTGTTTCTACGGGCATTCCGTACGCGCCCCAATAAAATCGAATCAAATTCAATTTAGTTCAACATTCGTACAATGTTGAAAACCGTGGACAATGAGCCAACAACGCTTGACGAGATCCATGGCCACAATTTTTGAGACAGGAAGAAAACAACAAATGGCGAACAGCAGCTCAACAGTTGACTATAAAAATTATGTGCTGCAGTCGCACTCAAAACAAAGAAAATACATTATGCATACTGATAAATTGTACTTGCCATTGATGCATAATTAAAATCTCGAAAGCAAGTAAAGCAAAAATAAAAAATAGAAGCTGAACGAAAAAAAAAGGAGAGAACTGTGTACTATACATGAGTTTTTAAGATGCAAAGGGCAAAACATTTCATTCTTTGCGTTTCCTATTTCTGCAGCTTTCTCATTCGGCCGAGCCCCATCTCGGGTAAGCGCATCTTCCTCAAGCACGGCTCAGTGCGCATCAAGACGCCGAGGCCCAGCCGCCGGGAGAACCCGTCGACTCGCGGCCGCTCCAAGCCCTCATTCCGGCTCAACTTCAGCGCATCCAAGTCGGACTCGCTGCCAGTCCAGGAGAACGGTGGCCTCAGTCCACCAAAGCCACCGCAGGATACCGCTGTCGAGGTAGTTGTTCGCTTCTGAGTAGACTTATTTGTTTGGATATTTCTGCATACGTTTACATTTGATAGAGTCAAAGTATAGGAGATCATTCGTTTTATATATACAAATCGATGTCTTGTGGTGCGTAGGTAAAGCCTGGGGTGAATCTCTGAAGATTCTACCCTGAAAGTTCTTGCGCCTCTTCGAAAGCTGAAATGTGAGAATGCATGGGGTGGGTTCAACGATGGGGTGCACGTTAAAGAACCCCAGGTGGTCAAAATTTCCGGAGCCCTCCACTACGGCGTCTCTCATAATCATATGGTGGTTTTGGTATGTTAAACCCCACAAATCTATCCAATTGGTTCAACGATGTCGTAATACTACTTAACACGTCTTCAATTCCGTGTATACTTCGACTAGAGCTTTACGATAACCAGGGCCGCTGCTCTAGTAATAAACACGAGCCTTGAGGTCAATCTTAAGCTCCAATGGCGGCGTGAAAACACGCGTGCTTTTATTTACATTCAAGATCCTTGTAAGCAGCGTTGCCAATGCTTTGCGTACAACGGAGGTGCTCTACAGCCCTGGTTAGTTAACGTGTGTGTCACCGGTCTACGCCATCTTCGTCACCTGGAGATAGCATGCTGCGCGTTTGGCCAGGCAAGCACATCCAGCGTCCATTCCGTTTATTTCCTCAAGTGAGAATATTCTCTTTAACGTCTTTAGCGCTGGTCAAACTCACTTTCACGCCGCCTAAAATGCAGCTATCCCTAGTATGTTTGAAAACGACATCTAAAGTGCAGTTATTGCTTATTTTTTAAAAAAACATCTTTCTGACAGCTTGTTCTTGATGCATACTGAAAAAAAAAAACGAGTGCAAGAAACAGAAGCTCGTGTCGTGCTTACCTTTTGTTCTTAAAACAGCACCATGAGTTTGGTTCAGATCATGAGCTTTCTTGGTTGCGTAATTTACACGATAAATGACGCACTCGGAAGGTCAGTATTTGCATTAAAAAAAAACTTATGGGGTGTAAATGCGGGCCGCGGTTTTTCGTCGCTGTGCGGATCATTGCGTGTTGACGCGGATCGCTTCCAACATTCCTAGACATCTGGAAGCTCTCAAATGAGGGACCGCCCTCACGCCTGGAATAAATTTTCCCAATAAGGGTCCACGTAGGTGTGCGCAGAATTCCCATTTAAGGATAGTGGGGGGAAGAGGGGGGGGGGGGCAAACATTCATGGCAGCACCTCCTCTACTAAGTCAATGTATGGGGCACTCATTGCACCTCTCTCCTTCGGGAGGTACAATAAGAGGAGGGAAGGGGAGGGGAAGGGAAGGCGGCCGCATCTCTCCTACCGCCCTCCCCCGTGATCACGCCTGAGAGGGTCCACATACTTTGCACTCCAACTTCTTGTCTAATATTTAAGTACATGTAGGAAGAGCAAGCAGGCAGATGCAAAAGCACAACGTCAACAAAATTTTGATTGGCGTGTCATGTACCGATAGACAAAGAAGCCTATCTGCTAACTTTTATGCTTAATATACGGGGTACGCATCCTAGCTACTCCTTAAAATAGTTGCTTTTTATAGTCTAACGGATTAAACATTCCTTCATTACCGCTCGCCTGAAGTGAAAGATTACTTAAAACTTCGAGAACCAGCATTGTTTTTCAGCATGAGCTTCAACAAGATCAAAGCGTCTTTTTTTAATATGCTATTTGGGAGATATTGGCCATTTTGTACAACACCAGCCACTTTTTTTCCCAGGTAGCACTAATAAGATTAATGAAAAGCTAAGTCATGAAAAAAAAACTGCATAAAATCACACCTAGAGACAGCTCGTCGCTCCCTAAAACCATAACAGTGCATATAAGCAGGAAGTCCCATTCCCACATTGACCTTAAAGACGGCACAAAAAAAAAAATCCGCAGATGATGATGATGATGATATGTGGGGTATAACGTCCCAAAACCACCATATGATTATGAGAGACGCCGTATAGTGGAATGCTCCGGAAATTTCGACCCCCGGGGGTTCTTTAACGTGCGCCCAAATCTGAGCACACGGGCCTACAACATTTCCGCCTCCATCGGAAATGCAGCCGCCGCAGCCGGGATTCGAACCCATCCGCAGACCCCACATACATTGAGATTTGATGCTATGCGAAGCACGCGGATGGAAGGTGACAATGCTGTATTTTTTTTATTGAGTGAAACGTTATGAAATAGGACTAAAATTGTGTACAAATGCACGCACATACACATGATAAACCGCCGCATATGTTTTAAATAACCAGTTGTCTACCGTTGCGTAACAGTGCCTACAGCAACATAGATATTATTAACAGAAGAATTGCTAAGTTAATATGAAGCGCTGGTGCTCCCGAGGGTGGGAGCTTTGGACGCTGCTACATAAATCATCTTCAGCGGATGGCACTTAGCTACAATTGACGTTGACCCGACGTGAAGTCTGTATCATACGAGTACGTATGTAATGTTTATACACTTGGGTAGCCAGTGCTGCAATCACAAGTGATGTTTCATGAACATTAGGGTTTACTTGAAAAACGGTGTGGACACCTGGCGTGGCTCTGTGGTATATTACTCAATTGCCATGCAAAATGCAGGGGTTTGATTCCTTGTGGGATCCTGACATTTATTCTTTGCATTCATCGGGTCAACGCTGCTGATGTCAGCTTTTTTTAACGATGACGTGTGGAAGTAACCGATGCTTGTTTTCACCGTTCCTGGGTAGATTATAAACGGTCAATCACCTGTGGCAGATACCCGCATACCTATGGCACATGCCCGCGGGCGGGTACGTGCCACATGTCTGGCGGAAAGGGTTTGATGGAGAGTGGGGCGAAGCATACGTCCGTCCATTCGTTCTTGCTTCCGTCCGCCCATACGTCCGTCTGTGTGACCATCCGTGCATCCATCCGCCCGTCCGTTCGTGCGTCTGTTCGTGCGTCCTCACGTCCATCCATGCGTCCGTCCCTGCGTTCGTCCATGCATCCGCCCCTGCGTCCATCCATGCGTCCATCCGTTCACACTTTCTTACGGCTTGCGCTTCGTGTCTGCTTCCCACCTTTAACCTCCTCGAGTTCATGGTATATACTAGCTCACTGTACTCATGGCACGGCGGCCCAACGCTCGCTAAACATTTCTAAAACCAAGGAGGTTACGCCCAGCGAGTATAACCTAGCAACCCTTTTTTGTCAGATAGTGCTCAATGTACATGCCAATGGCTGCTAATGGGGAATGAGAGACAGGAAAATTAGGTTTTTAGTTAATGCGCACGCTGTGTATTTTTTATTGTTTAACAACGCACAGAAGAAATCTCCCACTGGCACCACTTTGCAGGTCAAAGCGTGAGATTGGTTACGCACTACGACTACGACGACGGATGAACGGGTGCCACTTTAAAGAGCTTCGCCCCTAAAAGTGGGGCTGCTCCAGGGAGAAATGCTTTTATCGCACAGCACAATCTCTTCCAGTTAAGCACGCACCACGTGGAATGGTTTACGAGCTGTGTGCTGATGCTTCCCGATAGGGCGTGCGCCAGCTATTGGAACAACATCCTTAGAATTAAAGTTCACCGCTGCTACTTGAGTGCCCCCCCCCCCCTTCCCCCGCGTCTATTCATGCTCATTCAAGACGGGCGGCGTGTTTTATCTCTATTTGAGCATTCGACGGCAGGTCTAATACGCGGTGAGATGCTATCGCGTGCGCCCTCCCAGCGACACAGATATATATATATATATATATATATATATATATATATATATATATATATATATATATATATATATATATATATATATATATATATATATATATGTGTGTGTGTGTGTGTGTGTGTGTGTGTGTGTGTGTGTGTGTGTGTGTGTGTGTGCGTGTGACGCTACGATGAATGAGAGACGTGGCCTGGCTCATACGCCATGTTTATTATACTCTGCACTTCTTCCTTCTCGACCTCTACTAACCATCACTTGATACGTCACACGATTCCCCCTCCCCTCGAAAGAAGGCATGGATTACGCACAACAAAAAGTAAACAAGGAGAGGTTGAGAAGTCACAAATGTCAAAATGCACAATTGGTTTCATGGCCCCATGGTGTTCCGTAAACTCGCAAAACTTCAGAAAAGAGTGCAGCAGCCCGGTAAATGGGGGAGTTCTGGTGGGCGAGGTTGGCTGTGGCGTTCTGTAGAAGGTAACCGCGTCTTGCAAAACTGCACTGACCATGACGTGACTTGAGCACCTGCGAGGAACGAACAAGGTTGGAAGTCCTTGGAGCATTTTAAGGTCGAATGTCGTAGGCGCAGAATCCTCTGTCGTACGCGCTGTATTCTGTGTCGCGGCTGAGACAGAATTAGCGCTTGCAGCCTGCGTGTACAAGAACTGAAGTTCAAGGAATTATGTCTATGTTTGTGCATTGTGCAAATTATAGCGTTCAGTCTCTTTTGTAGTTTTCTGTGGCGTTGGCTCCGTTGTCGTGAACTAATGGGATGGTGTCTGAATCTTTGCGTGGTAGAACTGGTGACTTCTTGTCTTGTTCGGTGTTTCCTGAGGTTTCGGAGCTGTAATCTTAGGCGCAGTCTTGATATTTTGTGCCAAATGCGTTTCTGGCGTCGATCCCTTATGCAAAGATGCCTGACGTCTTGAATTTGTTTTAAGAGGCCGACTTTGCGTCGTCGTCCTTGTCGGTGTATTCGTTGGAGTGTCTGTGACTCTTGTATTTGCTTTTGCTGGCGTTGCTGATGTTGCTGTGGAACGCATTGCGGTGAAATCCCTTCTTGAACATCGCGCTCGTTTTCTTCAGAACTTGATGTGGGGCCCAGTCGGCACCTGGTAGTTTGTGGGCTGTTGTCATGCACTTCGGGCAATGAAGATAATGCTTCAGAATTGGTAGAAAGTTCTTCAGAATCTTCTTCTACCCTGTTCACTATAAGAGGCTCTTGCGCATTGCAGCGTGCGACGTTCGATGCGTCGGAGCCTTCAGTGTTTCTTCCACTGTCGAGTGTGTATGGACTGGATGGCGATGCATGAACCCGTGTGGAAGGAGCATGGCTCGACAGGGTATTTTCCCGATGCGCCAGGTCATCTACCATAAATACGGCGTCCTTTCAAGGCAAATGGTGAGCGTTAGGAGCGCCTGATGAACCGCGTGATGAAAACCCAGGTGGTGGACCACGTATGCCAGACGAAGAGTGAACGGCATCAGGTGGCTGGGCAACGTCTCGGGTCATATGCTGAAGCGATGACTTTGCAAATGCCGACTTTCGTGCAGAAGAGAGGCGCGCTCGATGGCTGTGTTTTTCCCAAAATACGCGTTGTCGTCTGCCACTGAACTCGTGTGCCACTTCGTCTTTTGTGAGAGGTCGAATCTTGTTGTGCGTTCGAATGGTTGAAGACTGCCTGTAAAATTGATGACTGAGTGCAGTTGTCTGTGGATGGTGGGTTACAAGCAAGTCTTCGTCGTAGTCGTCATCGTATTTTTTAAACCAAACGATCATTTCTTGTTTTATCTTTTGCAAAGACTCATCGTTGTCGAATATGTGGGTGAGGTAAAATTTAAATGCCTCACCGGTGACGTAGTCGCTGAAGTTCGTAACCATTTTTCGTTCCGACCAAGATGCAGCGGTAGCGTGGAACTCGAATAGGTCAAACCAGTCCTGTACAGGTCCATCGTCCGCTGCTCCGGTGTACTTGGGAACGGGAAGGTCGGTTGATGATTCTGTCATGGTGCTGGTCGCTGTGTGCGACTAGGAGATGATTCCGTAGTCGACGTATGGTCAGGGCGTTTTGTGTAGAACTGCGTCGATGATGAGACACTGATGAAGTGGCTGGGAGGTCTTCATCCTGTCGACTCGTGTGACGCTACGACGACTGAGAGACGTGGCCTGGCTCATACGCCATGTTTATTCTACTCTGCACTTCTTCCTTTTTGACCTCTACTAACCATCACTTGATACGTCACATATATATATGTGAGATCTAACAGACAGTAATGTCAAGGAATGTACAGGGGAAGTTATTAGAACCAATGAAATGTAAATAAGAAAGAAAAGTGGGTGAAAAAATAACCAGTCGTGAGCAGGAATCGAACCTACGACCTTCGAATAACGCGTTCGATGCTCTAACCACTGAGCTATCACAGCGGCCTTCCCTCCATCCACTTTTTTTGGGGTTTATTTGTGAATTTAGAACTAGGAGTGTCAGTCAGCGCCATCTATAAGCCAAGCGACGAGTGTGAAACACTCTTTTATGCGCATATGTGGCGTCACGTAGCACGTGAACTTATTACGAGCGGGCAGCTGATTAATAGTCCCTCGTATACAACCTAATGACACTAAGTCTGCCAGTACGAGACCCTCGTCCATGAATAAGGGAAAGAAGTAGGTGTACCTCATTACGAGCGGGCAGCTGATTAATAGTCCCTCGTATACAACCTAATGACACCAAGTGTGCCAGTACGAGACCCTCGTTCATGAATAAGGGAAATAAGTGTATACCTAAGTAGAAATAAGGGAAAGAAGCGTATACCTAAGTACAAATAAGGGAAAGACGTGTATACTTAAGTACCTAAGTAGAAATAAGGGAAAGAAGTGTATACCTAAGTACAAATAAGGGAAAGACGTGTATACCTAAGTACACTTAGGTATACACTTCTTTTCCTTATTCATGAACGAGGATCCCGTACTGGCAGACTTGGTGTCATTAGGTTGTATACGAGGGACTATTAATCAGCTGCCCGCTCGTAATAAGTTCACGTGCTACGTGACGCCACATATGCGCATAAAAGAGTGTTTCACACTCGTCGCTTGGCTTATAGATGGCGCTGACTGACACTCCTACTTCTAAATTCACAAATAAACCCCCAAAAAAGTGGATGGAGGGAAGGCCGCTGTGATAGCTCAGTGGTTAGAGCCTCGAACGTGTTATTCGAAGGTCGTAGGTTCGATTCCTACTCACGGCTGGTTATTTTTTCACCCACTTTTCTTTCTTATTTACATTCCATTGGATCTAATAACTTCCCTGTACATCCCTTGGCATTATTGTCTGTTAGATGTTATTCATATTGTGTCAAAACACGAAAAAACGAGCCCTTAGGTATACACTTCTTTTCCTTATATATATGTATATATATGTATATATATATATATATATATATATATATATATATATATATATATATATATATATATATATATATTTGGGGGTAACTCTGGTCACTTGATCAGCATTGACCCCAGGTGGTCAAAATTTCCGGAGCCCTCCACTACGGCGTCTCTCATAATCAAATAGTGGTTTTGGGACGTTAAACCCCACAAATCAATCAATCAATCAATCAATGATCAGCATTGAATGCTTAGTAAAAAACCACTGACATGTTTTTGTATTTACCAGAAAGCTCAAAATTGTAGTTAACAGTGATGCGAGACCCGAGAAATCTGCTCTAAAACTAAATTTCTATGCTGCACAACACACCTCTTGGGGCTCCAGAGCTGCTACGAAACAATTTTTGCTGCTCCAAAGCTGCTCCAAAACCGCATTATTTCTCCTCCCAAAGCTACTCCACAAGACTAAAGCCTGCCTTCACCCCTGAACGCCTATGTCATTTTTAAAAAAGAAAAGAAGATAAAATTGAGCCCTGTAACTGTCAGCATTAGAGTGCGACACCTCAACAGTAGCTCGCGAGGGATAGGGGTAAGGAGAGATTAAAAGGATAGGATTAAAGGTTTAGAGATAAAGAGGGGGAAGGAGAGAGTGTGGCGTAGAGACAGCGACGCCCAGAAGCAAGGAGAGAAAATAGGACAGATGGACATGGTCGCAGGAGTCCGAGCACGGGGCATCACTCAGCGAGAGCTCTTGTCGGCGGCAGGAGATGGCGTAGGGCGAGCCAGTCGGCCAGAGCTGCGCTGTCGTCGGAAATCGCGGGGACACAACCGGTTGGCACGAAATACAGAGAGCGGGTCCCTCACCCCTGAATGTGTACACGGTGCTCATAGTCAGAAGCGGTTTACAGTCGGAAGCAATGAAGCTACATTTCAATGGATCTGGATGTATTTAACGTGAAAAGGGACTGTCGACATCTCCAAAAACATTATTGTGGTGAAAATAAGAAGATTGTTTGTGACATTAGCAATAATGAGCATGCATTTAAATTATATTTTTAATTTGGCTCTGAGTATCTTGAAACCATGCCCACTAGTGTCACCCAACGGCGATGTGGCTTAGTCTATTGGTAGCAGCAAAAACTTTCGCAAATACAGTTAGTTAGTTGAAAACAAACATGTAACTTGCCTTTGTGGAACAATGGCTAACATACTCGGCTGCTGACCCGAACGTCGCTGGTTTGATCCCGGCCGTGGCGATTGCATTTCGATCGGGGCAAAATGGTAGGGGGCCGTCTATTGTGCAATGTCACTGTTGCTTAAAGAACGCCAGATGGTCAAAACTTCCGGAGCCCTCAACTACGGCATCTCTCGTAGTCATATCGTGGTTTTAGGACGTAAAACCCCAGATATTATTATAGAACAAATGTGCATCTTTTGCACTTATGCCAGTTTCCATTCAGTGGGAAAGTAAACTTTACTTTTTTTTTTATCGCGAGTTGAAAGAGGCGCCTGGTGGCGCTGCCGGCGTCGTGTTCGTCTGCCTACATACGGTGGAGAAACGCGAGCCACGTGACGACGGTGCCCAGCGCCGTTAGTGAGAAAAGGGAAAAGATAACCGTCTTTGGAAAACAGCAGCGTGACTGAAACTTTCGTGAAACATCGAGCGTGACATTTCAGTCGCAATATGCATATCACTGCAGTATTCACCGAGGTTATACATTTATTAAGATATTGCCTTCAGGTTCCGCTTCACTAAGGCCTCCGTGCTGGCTGTCATGTCGCATGTTCAACATGGAACGCCTAAATATAACTGGGAAACAGCAGGAATCTTCTGTTCTCCGGTGAAACATATGTGCGATGTTTGTTTCAGTTACACGTTTGGCATGAGTGGAACCACTACAGTTTGTTTCACAACGCTTGTATAGTTGATCAAGCTACCACAACGCCGACGTGTACAATGGCGTTGCTGAAACAGAAAGTTTCCCGATCGACTGCGATGGTTTGTCAGGCTGACGAAACAAAGCTGGAGAGACTGTGGTAACAATACTTTGACAGTCTTCGGGGTTTAAATGACCACTGTAGTATTTGTTTTATGTTAGGCGATGCCTGAACGAAACCTGCAAAAACTGCATGTGGTTATAGTTTTCGGCTTTCTCCGGCGCCACCAACCAGCGTTGTGGGCCTCCTTACACTAGTGGTAGAAGACCGCTCGCCGATCAGAATATTTAGTTTCAACTATTTTTACTAACTTTCCATAAAAACCGTTAAAGGTTGAACACGTCAAATGGTATATGCTTTGTATTGCGGTATAAAAAAAAGGGGGGATGAAAGATGGTGGACAGTCTCTTTAAAGATATTCAGAACTCAAGTGACAAATCATCGCAAACCACGTCTGATGGTCTTAAATTTAGATCAAATCATATCTCTCTGCAACCACGTGCTGATATTTTGTGCCGTAATTCACATCGTGTTATGGGCAGTTCCGACGAATTTTTTTTTTTTCATATGCTTCTCTGGCTGCTTCTCCTACTGCAGCATTCTTGCTGCAGCTTCCAGTTTGCCGTAATAAGTTTATGCATTTCTACTTTTTTTTTCTCTCTCTCTCTCTTTCTTACTCAGCAGTCGGAGTGCAGTGTCCACGTAACGGCCGCGACTCCTTCGTCCACGGGTCAAGGGACGATCGTATGACGCCAGCTGAGGTTCCCTCTGGCATGGAGGGCACGCCACAGGGTCAACTGAAGAGCTTCACCCTACGTCGCAAGACGAAGACTATAGGCATACACTTGCTGCGCGCGCCTCAGCTGAAGTTCAAGCTAAAGGCGTGCGCACAGAACGCTGGGAATCGCATGTCGCACGATTCCCTTCTACAGGTCGCGACGCGCTGTGCGCCAGCCTCCGATCTATAGCGTGCTTGCGTCGCGCGTTTACGTGCGCATGGCCACATATCCAGTAAAACGTAAGCCCCTCATTCCATGAAACACGCGTGGGAAAGGTAACTCATGCTCCCCAAAGGCATCCGCTATGATTTTAGCAGCTTTTTGAGCTTCGCCAAGCGCGCGGCGGTTCCTTCGCTTGCGCTGTCCCTTCTGAGCCTGACAGCCAGCACAGTTTCAGCGTGGTATCTGGAACCAAGCTTACCAGCCGAACTGAAAACCTCCTGCGGGACACTTTCGTCTCGTGCGCGCATGTTTTCAACAGTCTTCGTTTTGCTTTTGCCGCCGGATAGAGGCGTGTTTTTCTGTTACGCTGAGCGTGGGCCTTGACCAGAGCGCCATATCCAAGCGCCAAATCTGAGCGGCAAGATTACGGTGTGAACTGCTGGCGACGTTATTTCGAGACAGCTGAGTTTCAGTGAGAGCTTTCTTTTTTTTTTTCGGTGTAAGGTTTCACAGCCCTTCAAGGCTACTATGAAAGGTATACATTCCCCGCACCACCACCTGACTATCTTTTGTTTTAGCGCTGCGATGTCTCAGCAAACTCGCAGTTTCTACTTCCGCAAGCAAAATACCTATACTGTGGCATCCGTTTCGCAAACCAGCCACCCTGTGAGGCTAGGCGGGATAGGTGATTCATTGAACAAAAGCGCACATTAGGCTACATAAAAGCGTGCTGTAAACATGCACTTGGTGCACTTTCTCTGCTGGTCACGTTTTGCGCCATTGATTAGTCGCCATGTCAGCAAAGGTGACTAGTACGCTGCACGGAATAACGGAATACCTAAGTCAAAGATACACTACTTGCTTCAAAGGTCTGCAGAGAGGTCGCCTACTGCATGTTATGTTTTCTTTTGCGTGACGTTAAGTCACTGTGACCACCATCTTAGCTAACTAGCTAGGGCTTACGTTGAACCTCTTGACTTCAGTCGAAATGAGCGTCGCATTGAAAATGCTCGTGATCTGCAGCCAAAATATGAGTATGGCTTCTCTGACGGTCTCCATAAGTTGCTTAAACGGACCCTGTACTATTTACATTACTATGGACATTAAAAAACGTACATTATTCTTGAGCATTATTGCCATGCCTTGCCCTTGCGTCAAACAGTTCATGTATCATGATCATGACTATACATACAGTATGTGTGTAGCAGCAATGAAACATCCTATGTTATCTTGTGTTCATCAGTACATGTTTCGTTGGATCGGTTTGAACATGAGCACGGCTACAACTTTTCCTGTATATCTCGGAATGGTGCGGTGTTTCATGGTGACAAGCCAGCTTTAGTGATATTTTGTGATGGAATGCGTGTGTGATAGTATATCTTTTTTGTGTATTTTAACCAACAATACTCAGTATTTCGAGCATGCAGGCACAGATACTGCAAGAGGGGAGAGGTGGTAATTACATAAATGAGATAAGGAAGGGGTGGATAGGTGTAAGGAAAAGCTGAATTTGTGTATCACCATTCATTAGTTCACACTGTGCCATGTGGTGGCGCTGGCAACGAGTAAACCATATAGCTGCCACGTTAAGCGCCGCGCGACTGGCAACATGACCCACCCGGCAACCACGTTTAAACCTGCGGCGAATATGCCCGTCTACTTTGACACATTAACCATTTCTGATACTGACCACTTCACTTGTGCTTACTAGTGACGTCGAGCTTTTTGCTTTAATTCTCAAGCCTTGTACATTGTCGCGTTTCTCTGGTAGCGAGCTGTTGTGATCGAGAGATTTACCTCCTCCGTGCAGCATGTTGGAGCCTGCCTGTATACCGAATGCCCTCTGGGAGTTCGGTGGGTCAGTGGGATGAGTAAGTTCATTGTTGCTGATTACACCTCCGTGCTCATGTAGCAAAACCAGGGATGTACGCGATACAAACCACATGTGTGAGATCATTTTCTTTCTGTGACTATATTTGCGATGCACGATTCAATGGCGCCTTTGTGATATGTGACTCATGAGGAAGAAAGCAGAACTAAAGCATGGTGATGTGATTAGCCACTCTGTAAATATTCGCGCTGTTAGAGTAGCGAGTGTATATGAAACGTTACGTTACGCACAGCCTTTGCATCTTTCGATAAAGCATCTCTCAGCCTGCCTTGTGTATAAGTGATACAGTTACTCGGTGCTTGCCGGAGCGAAACGTGTAGTAACAAGTCCGTATTTGTTGTTGCATCTTGTGCTCGCGTTGTGTTTCGGCTCCTTGTTTACATACGTCGTTCGTAACATGTCATCGTAGCTTTAGTAATACTGTGAAAAGAAAAATGAAGAAAAAAAATAATATTTGTTTGAAAATTCATCTTTCATGAACAGGACACATGGAACGGCGTTTTTCACTGCTTCATAAACTGTAACGTTCCTCCCCTTGTGAATGTATGGTCTTTACTTCACGTAAATGAAATCATTGAGAATGAAGGCACGAAGAAGTTTTGCTGCGTCTTACAACCGAAATTAATTCATTTGTCAGAGGAAAGATTTTACAGCGCTTGCACGGCTTCTTTGCAGTAACATAGAAGTGTGCTAATCTATCCGAAATCGGGAGTGATTATTTTGCAGCGCTGCAAAGATCATACACATATATTGACCAACTTTAGTGAGCACCAAACGCCCACCAGTTTCCCATCTCTGGCATCTACAGCAGCAGAATTAATACTTACGATGAGGTTTCCAAATGGTTACAGTTCTTTTTTTTTTTTTTGCCTCGTCCGAGTAATGCCTTCATACATGATGCTGTTTTCACAATGTGACTCTACGCCGATCCCTTACTGTCAAGACGAGTATGAAGCAACTTTGTCACGTTCGAGAAAATACAGTCTGGGTGGTCTGCCCATTATTTCATTCCCCGTAATCACACTTCCATATTAAAGTACAATACTCCATGAGAGAACTTCTCATAGTTCAACGTCATACAGTAGACGGCGCCAAAGGGCTTGTACCTGGCCCTGCGAATATCATTTCTATTCAAGCTCAGATAACTTGCCGAAGGTGTCCTTCGTATTCAACAAAGCGAACCGCACTATTTTTAGCGTAGGCAATATCTGCCACTGTAGTGTGAAACAGTTTTAAAAATTTTACATGCATTCGTTGCTTTGGTTAGGAAAAGCAGCACCTTTTAGTCACCGGGGTACGTGCCGGCAAAGCTTTCCTTCAGAGTCTAGTCCCTTTTTTTCCTTCCTTTTCACTCGAAAAAGAACTGTCACACGTGCGGCACGAACTGTCACACGGTCGTGTTGACAGTTATTCATTTCACTACCCCAGAGCGAAAGTGGAGCAGTTTTAGCATCCGAACAAAGCACCTATGGTTGTCCAATGTGCGCCGATTTTTTTACACAACTGTACACGCGTGACAATTTTCAGGAACTCTCTTATTTTATCACATCGGAACGCGAAGACGGCCCTGCCTGCACTTAGCGCGTACTTGATATCCCACCTTTTTCACCCTTCGACTCTTTCCTTACTGTGTCAAGAACCCGCGTCGCCATTTTGCCCTTCACCTACGCTGCGTCAAGCGACTCCGCACGAAACAGTTTTCCTCCTTCCCGTGTTCTTTACGTGTGTCCCATTCTAAGACGTTCTTCAAGACTACGGTACGGTACGCATCTGTAGACGATAGTCAGAAAAAAGCTGAATGTGTTTACTTTACCCGCGTGTTCATTCCAGCCACACACAAAAAAAAAAATCTTCATTCCTTCCCTCTGGCTTCTCTGTGACCCATCGCTTTTTTCTTACAAACATAGTTTCTTTCATTTATGTAAGAAGACGTATGGAAGAATACGTGCATTTGTTACGAGTTATATCTCTAAGATCTCACGTATATATTATGGACACACCCGTATACTGCCACAGATTTTTTTGCCATTTATCCTTTGTGTTGTTCAAATCCTACTCTGTCATAACATCCGTAGAACACTGCGTTGTGATGAGTAACTAATTCCTCAAGCGACATTAGTTACATGTGAGAAGGTGACGCGTGTTGGAAATGGAGTGCATGGCAAATACATTACTAAACGCTCAGGTTTTAAATGTTTACATATGGCTCGTCATAGCTAGACTAGACGTAACAGCGGTAGCGAATTACGTTGCGAAAACGATCTCTCGCTCTCTCTTTGACGTGCGTGCGCTGTCTTAGTGATCGGTGCCTCATTGGCTTTGTTTGCCGGCGTCCTTTCGCGCATGACACGTTCGCAAAAGGTTAGAACATTGTAATCTTGGCTTCGACGCTTCACTTTACACCACCCGTGACGCCGAATTCACAATCTCGGTATTTTAGTATTCTGGACACTCTATTCAAAACCCCCAACGCACACTTTTCAAGTACGGGCCGAAAGACATATTTCTTTGAATTTTTTGTGCATTCTGTTTGACGGCCGGGCTAAGAATATTGGGAAGAGCTATATTTCGCGAAGCGTTTTTCTTTTTATACTTGCATACTGAATGGAGTTGGTACTTCACAATGAAATGTAATTTCACCTTAGTTTCTCCGACCCTTCGTATAGACTGACGTGAACACAAACCGAATGTTGTAAGGCATCGGCATAATAATGTGTCATTTGGATGGAGTCTTTAATGTGGCACTGCGGGCAGACAAGGTACGTGGACGAGTATGGTGCTCATGTAGTTTCTAGTGAATTTTAACCTGGTCGGACGTTGCTAAGTACCGTCTAGCATAAATCAACTTAGTATGCCAGACACGAGCAAGTACAGAGCTAGTAGGTTTAAGGTGGTGTTTGATATTAGTGAAACGCATTTCGTACACCCGTCAAACCATTTTTATGCCCTATCACATCTTGACAAGTTTTCATTCATCCCGTTCCGCTGATGTAGTTAAAAGATTATTTTCCACATCCCGATGTTCTAGCTCGGATTTGTAACTGCAGTTCGCATGGTCAATAACGAAACGCACACCCTAAATTATAATCTAGTAGACTGCAGAGCCACAAAACATTCAATGTTTAAGAGTAGGCGAGGACTGATGCCAGTCACGTGAGGTTTTTTTGTTTTGTTTTGTTTTTTTACAAAGCGCAGCTATATGGGAGGTAATTTCAATGGGTGACCCCGTGATTGTGACGCAGAAGATTTGAAACCACACGATATAGACGTCCAGTGATAGTGGTCCCCGATAGAGTATCTCGACTCTCCAACACACTATCAAAACACTGCGGAAATTTGTTCCGAAAAAAAAAACCGTGTCACAAGGACACTCCTGGTCATTCGCGGAAGTTTGTACTTAAGAAAAAAATGCGTATTTATTATGCTCTGTTTCCGCTATACCACAAAGGAACCACTCTTCCCGGTATACTCGCTGCCGTGTTTCTGTTAGATTAAGCAGCAGGGTGCTCTAATCAACAATTGTGTGTAGTGGAATATCGGGACTCGTCCTCTCGCTCATTGATTGGTTACATCAATGATCTACGTTCGTGGATGTAGAAGATTGTGATATTTCAGGGGGATCTCGGTTCATATTCATCGCCGTCAATGTTTCCGCCTGGTCCACTTACCCCGTGTTTTGTTTGTGTCAAAATAGCCGATATTAGGACAAGTTGGTAATTTTCACCTCAGGGGCGGCAACATGCACAAGCGGGCGCAAGCGAAATAGTACGGGACGGCGACTCAATCCTTTCGTTTTCACGCCACGTTGTCTTTGTTTCAGCATCCCCTCAACTCTGATCTCACACGTTGTCGAGTGTACATGAACTTATTATAGCTACCTTCATGCGCAACAATGCTGCGTATTTCATTTAACATTCCTTGTGGCTGAAAAGTGTGTATGCACTGCGACCAGGAAAGTGTCTGCGCCATTTTAGTATCGCAGTTTCTGATTAACACTCTGCAAGTTGTTCTGCTATACCTGCACCATGGTAACAGGCATATGCTTGTCAGCTTGCGGGTATACTTGCGGTGGTGGTGGACAGACGAAGAGGTATTAAGCAAAAACAGTGAGCTGAAAGGAACACCTTCATGGAAGCTGCCATTCGTGGTGCTCGCAGCATTTTGTATCCCTTTGCAGGGCGTCGCACTTTTGCGCATGAATGAAACTGGTTTGTTCGTTAACCGTATATGGAAGATTAGTATATAATCATAGTATCATACAATGATTTCGACCCTGAGTGTGGTCAAACCGTCAACGGACCAGACGTTTCGGATCGTGAATGTTCTGAGACAAAAGAGTTACAAATGTGATTCGCCTCCTGTTGAACGCTCGTTGCCCTGAGCTTGGTGTGTGCGTTCGAGTGCAGTACACGTGGCATGCGCATATTCCTCTACTCGACAAGTCTGCTTATCGACGGCAGGCCCGGCGTTTTGTGCGCTGCATTTTTTCACACCAACCATGTGTCGACCTTTGCCTTGTGCTACCTAAATGACTATTTTTGGCCACCCTCCGATAGAGTGAGACTAAAAGATTATCATATCATGTACTGACTATGTATCATGTTTCCATGTGTAAAATAAAAACATTTTGATACACCTACTTTTGAGTGCATCTTACTGAAGTCTCGGCTGAGTGGCGTTATCCGCACAGGTTCTGCCCGCCTGCGTATTGAATTTGAAATTACAGAAAATAAAAAAAGAAAGTTGTAGTGACTTTCTTCATTATTCGCCATAACCCCATCCTCCCTTTGTTACAGCGGCAACGTCCAGGGGATTGTCAGCCGCGATGGTGCAGCACTTATGGTGCTCACCTGCTGACTCGAAGGTCGCAGTTCGATCCCGGCTGCGGCGGTCGAGTTTCGATGGAGGCGAAGCTCTAGAGGCCCGTGTATACATGCACGCTAAAGAACACCAGATGACCAAAACTTCTGGAGCGCTTCACTACGGCGTCCCTCATAATGATATTATATTGATAATGCTTTGAGGTGTAAAACCCGAAGTGATAATATCGACGTCCAGAGGGTCGTACATACTGCAGCACATCTTAAAGGGGCCCTGCGACACTATTGCAGCATGTATTTTTCATTGGTTCTTCAGGTGCTCTGGAACGCGCCGAAATCGTTGCACAAATGGCAACGCCGAAAGCGACGCTGTTATAATTTTAATTCACGGGACAAACATACCTTGGTTTCAGACTGCGGTGCCACACATCGGATATTTTTCTTATGGTAAGTGACGTAATGTCATGTGACGTGACGACAAACACCATTCACTTTTGATTGGCTGGACGCGAGAAATAGCGTGCAATAGTCATATGGTGGTAGCTAGGTCATACGAGTGAATGCTAAAAACACCAAAAACCTTTTTTTATACTTTCTCAGCAAGAAATCATTCCTGTTTCGAAACTATGCATTTGGAGAACAACGAACACAACACAGCCTGCGAACAAGGCTATGGTACGCCAGCCAGCAACTAAACATAGAAAAGCATGCCACGTTTTAGCGAGCCAACAATGCGACGGGCGATTGGCGCTGGCGTTGACGTAGAACGAGTTTTGCATGCAAGCTGAGAAGTAACCCCTGTCCATATTGTATGTGCGTATTCTACACAGTGACCGTGGGAGCATCTTCTAAGGTTCTACTCGTCGCACGTTGTTCATAGTAACCATGCTTACGACGCCGTCAAAAAGAGCGGTAGTGAGGTATTTTGTGAAGACCACCATGAGGTGACATTTCCGGAATGTCTTTATGAGACGCGCACTGTGACTGGAAGCGGTCTTCGACGTCAGCAGGCGAGTGAAATACGAGAGTGCTTCTCCTCGTCCTCTGCTCAAGTTTTAAACTTTGAGGACTCATAACTTCACTGTCCATGCACTAATTTGCATCCTTTTTGTTGTATTCGTCTCAGTAATCATCGATACGCGTGGTCCGGTGCTAAATAAAGCTGTTCAAAAAGTGTCGCATGGCTCCTTTAACGATGTATGGGCGATGATGGCGGAATGATGCTTCTCCTGCAAAATGGCTTGTACCCACATGGTAGACTCGTCAAAAAATTGACAGCTGAGGAATATTTAGTTACCCTTATGAAATATTTCATAATAATTTTCAATTTGAAAATTAAGAGAAAAACTTTAAAATATATCTATAGACATAACCTACACAGAATGTCGCTTCTGACTGCCACTCTGCAGTAAGAAGCGACAGATTAACAGTTAATTGAAATGTAACACTTGGGTCGGGTTATACTGCAATTTACATGAATCTTCATTGTAATTTTCTTCCTCTTCAAGAAAATGATCAAACTAATAATCAAAATCGTATACAATTTTTGCCTGTGTAAAACCAGAAGCGGCATCGAAGACGTCCCATGGCTAAAACCCGGCACTGATTCTGCGATAGTGAGAATGAATTCTGAATTTTATTGTAAACTTATACTATTTTAGCAAGTGGAATTTCGGTTTTATGTCATATACAGTATTCCGGCGGCATGATAAAAGAAGCAATGTTCAATAGTTTCTGTCTCTAAGGAAAAGGTAGCATAGAGGCAATATCGTCAGACCAGCCACGTGTGAAGATAAGGCCGCAAAATCTGGTGAGCCTTTTCCGACTCTTTAGAAGGACGCCACTGAATATCCAACGGAAATTCAAGGCTCTGAAATTCCATCCATGTTGTCATTATGCTTTGATGGCGTCTCGATTATTTCCACATTGTCGATATACAAAAGTCCTTATTTAAGTTGCTACTGGAAGAACCAAAGTTGTGTACCCACGCTCTTTGAGATTATCCCATGTGGAGCCCACAGACCATTTTCACAGCGGAGCTGTTATGGTCGAAATGTTCAGTGTGTCGTATATTTGAAAAACTGGGGGATTTTTAAGCTTCACCTTTAAAATTTGAACGCAATAGCGATATCCTGTTTCTATAGTGCTGTCACACAGGTCCCGTTAATTAGGGAGGCGATTGCCGGGCTAATTCCAAGGGCCGAAGTATCGGCCCCCCGAACCGCACCACGAAAGCGTGGACAATTTAGAAGTGGTCCTTTTTGGCGCGCCAGCGGACGCCAGCTGTGGCCCAAAGAACAAGTCAGAGCCGAGAGTTGATAACCAAAACAAGACTATATTCTCAATAATGGCAGATCTAAAACTATACACAAGAATGCACACTCCATAATAGTTGAGTACAATATGTCACCAATCAAATAACGTACTACACAGTACAATCAGCCACACTCGAAACAACGGACACAGACAACAATACACACTACAATGCAGTCGCATGCATTAAACAACCAAGACACTTAAAGACTAAAGAGATAGAAAACCTATTCAGTCCAAAGTTCTTGGAACAAAAGTCTGGATGATGCTCTTCCGAGAATCACCCACTCAAAGTCCAGCGTTGTTGTCGTTCCGCTTCCCCTGAAGTTTCTCTTCCAGGAAACCTCGCCGAAGTTTCTCTTCCAGGAAACCTCGCGTCTTCAATTGGCCTCTCTCCAAGCTTCAAACTCCTTCGCCGGAAACACGTCGACTTCACACACACAGCTGTTGCCACGCGTCTTAGCTCGATAGCGGTAAACACACACTCTTGCCTGTAGCTCGAGTCGTCACCCCTCAGGTGGAAATCATCTTCTTCTCCTGGTTTGTCTCTACAGACAAAACCTTCGCCGACTACACGGCGGAATCCCTACGCGCTCTGGCGCTAACTTCCGTCTTCTTCTGCTTTGTCCCTACGGACAAAACCTTCGCCGACTACACGGCGGAATCCCTACGCGCTCTGGCGCTAACTTCCGTCTTCTCCTGCTCTCTCGTCTCGGCTGCTCGATTAAATACCTTCCGCGCGAGATTCCAGAAGGTTCTCGTCATTTCGTCGGCGCGATACGCAGCGAATGCTGGGGAGAGGGCGAGACGGTTGGGATGCCCTCCGCGGCGGATGACTCAACTCGGTATGACCACGCCCCTTTCCTTCTAGAAAAAATCGAGTGCTTGCTCGGCCGCCATTGTGAGGTGAGGAGGTTCGTCGGCGAAGCCACGCTTCCGCGGGGAGAGGGAGCGTGCACGGGGAGCTTGTTTTCTTTTTTCTTTTTCTTTTATCGTTGACCTCGCGGCGTCACTCCGGCGTTTCGTCGCGAGGAGTTGGCGGCGCGCTCTTTTTGAGCGCTCGTTCTGTGACAAGTGCATACTTAAGCCACTTAGTGAATACTTTTTATTGTATGATGTTGCTCGAGAAGTTTAAGTTGCAGATTACAATGAATTACTACAATGATTACTACAATTGATAAAGTTGAAAGCAGCTCGTGTCAAACTTTCGCATATGGCTGCATTTTGTGTAATAGGTAGCATGTTTTAAACCACGGGAAATTATTCGCGTAAAATCTTTTATAACTTGCTATGCTTCGTAAGGTCATTATCATAATCACATGTGATAATGGGTGATGGCAATGTTCACTTGTAGCGCGCAATATTACTGCGACAATACATGATGTATTGTGCCCCGCCGCAGTGGTCTAGCGGCTAAGGTACTCGGCTACTGACCTGCAGGTCACGGGATTAAATCTGGGCTGCGGCGGCTGCATTTTAGATGGAGGCAAAATGCAGCCCGACATGTCAATCAATTACATGTATTGTGAACCATGCATACAGCTAGGACGCGTGGCTTTTAAAACATGAAAGTTACTTTCACTGCATTTTCTAGCCGACGCGTGGCTGTGTGGTAGAACACCTGCTTACCATGCAAACCACCCGAGTTCAACCCTCACAAGAGTGGACCGCGAAGTAGCGTTTTAAATTATATGCCAATTTCACTCACAAGTGCTGCATGCAAAATACTTGAACATGTTCTGTCTACCAATATAATGATTCATATGAACACGTATTCCTTACTTAATCCTCAACAGCACGGCTTTCGTAGTCTTTTTTTCCTGCACAACACAGTTGCTTGAAATGACACACGAATTATCATCTGCTTTAGATAAGGGTTTCTCTGTTGACTGCTTGTTCCTAGATTTTTAAAAAGCATTTGACGTCGTACCCACTATTTATTGATTGAAAAACTAAAATGTGTAAAGTGAACGATATGGTTGTGAACTGGATGAGCGAGTATTTAAATTTAAGGAGGCAAAAGGTTGTTTTCAATAGTAATTCATCTCAGGAAGTTGATGTGTCCGCTGGAGTGCCTCAAGGGTCAGTGTTGGGTCCGCTATTGTTCCTCATCTACATAAATGACATTTGTTCCGTAATTTCATTACTTATCAAATTATTTGCCGACGACTGTGTTTTGTACAGGCTTATACATAGCTCCCACGGTTGCACTACTCTTCAAAACGATCTTGACACGGTTTCTGAATGGTGTGGAAAGTGGCGTATGCTCATTATTGCAAAAAAAAAACAGCGCATATGTGTTTCACTAGGAAAAATGTACAACAAGACTCATTTTACACTGTAAATTTAACCAGACTGCTAACAGTTCGTGAACACAAGCATCTCGGTGTATATTTTACACCGGACCTTTCCTGGAGCCGTCGCATCAATCACGTCACAAGTAAAGCAGGACGTGTGTTAGGTTTCCTGCTCAGAAACGCAAGTAAGTTACCACTTGAGGCCAAGAA